GAAGCAGCGTGTGCTTTAGGGGCCCCCGCCGCCGCAATCGCATCACCCAGTTTAACCAGCCGCCGCCCTCTCTTCTTTTCCTCCGGAGCCACAGCAGGAGAGCACCGACCATTGATCGGCGAGGCCTCCTCGTCCGAGTCGTCCAGGATCAGACGCCGGCGGCGGACTTCAGCCGGAGCCAGGTTGTATTTGCGCTCCGTTTGCTGCTCCGCCGTGACACCAGCATCAATGGGACCGGGAGATTCCGCCAGCAACACTTCCTGGGGATGGGCTTGGATATGGCGGCCCTGGCTTCTCCCCTCCTCCCCATCACCCCGAGCATCCTTGCTTCTGTTATGCTGTTGCGTCTCGCGGGGGGTTCGAACATGGCGGCCCAGCTGAATTTTCGGCGACCGCGATAGGTGGAAGCCGCGAGGGCTCTGGCGACGCATTTTCCCTGCTGGCAGCGGAGCTGCAGGCTTGCGCGAATGAACAGGCAGCTGGCGAGCCGGCCCCTGGATAGGCAGCTCGTGCCTCTTCCCCTGGACAGTCCGCCCATTGCCACCATAGCCCTCTTGCTGCTCTTTATAAGCTTTGTTGACCCATACCGAATTACCCCGCCTTGCAAAAGAAGGGTTATTGTCTTCTGTGTCATAAATCCGATTTCCCAGCTTCCGGGTGGACATGTGAGGTCCAAAATTTTCTTTACGAGCCAGAGGGTCAGAAGTACAAGCCCGAAGCACATGGCCCACCCTACCACAGCGAATACAGAAGCTGGGTAGATATTCATATTTTAGGCTAACCCAGAAGTTGCCTGTATCATCATTAATGGCCCATAGCTGAGATCGAAGAGGCTTCGTAAAATCAATTAAAGCTTTGACTTTCACGAACCAGCGCCCCGTGTCTTGACAGGCAAACAAGTTGGATTCCAGAACTTTGCCAATGGTAGAGTTCACCATTTTCCTCCCAAATTGCTGGGTGCATTATTCTTCTTTCACATCCCACAATTGAACTCGGAACGAGACAATTGCTAGGTCTTCGAAAATTTGCTTGGTAATCACTGGTGTCCAAGGGCGGAGGTGGATGATTTGATCATTGATTACCCATGGGGTACGTTTGAGCACCCATATCCGGGCCTCATCGCTAGGGAGCATGAACTCAACCAAGCCATGCTTAGCCAGGACCACCCTGAGACGCCCTTGAATTAGCCTAGGCGTAAGCACACCTTCCCTCAAATCCGTTGTGGAGATTCTATTAGACGTGAAGACTTGACCAAGCAACGAGTGAGAGGCACGATACTTAGTCGATTGCACTTCATCCATAGAAAACTGAACCACCTGGTCCGAATTAACGTGCGCCATTGCTTGAGCCTGCAACATAGTAGCACTATTAGCAAGACCCGACTCAACATTCCCACAAATCCGAGGGCTTATCACCCCCAGGCAAGCTATGCGTTCTTGAATTTGGCTTAGAGCCACGTTATTTGCCGGCAGATCAGAGAAAACCCCATACTTGGAGCGATCTGGTGGGCCGGCCATAAATCCAAAGGACTGTGGAAAAAGAAGAGGGGTCGAGAGCGAACCTACGTGGGACGGGAGCTTGGTTCTGACCGCGGCTGGAGTTGCTCCTAGGCTTCTCTTGGGATGCGCAGATGGGAAAATCTGAGTAAGAGAGCCAGGGCCGGGCAGTTTAAATAGCGGCCATGATATAATTCCACCAAGCGGATTTCCCATCTTCACGCGATTTCGAGGAAGCAGAAGCCGACTAGAACTCTGCTCCAACGAAAAGGATATTGGAAAATAATTAATTTTAGTTGTAAATATCCCTTTAATCACGGAGACAGAATCAGAAGGAGATCCAGGATCAACTGACATCCGTCTCTCGGGCGGATTCTGAACCCAGTAGGCTTCGGCGACGGAGCGTCGGCCGCTGGCAAGAACAAGATTTCCGACGTCGTAGTTCTGAGAACTAACCGGCCGCCGGAGGTTTTCATTTGGAACGGGGGTTGCTGATTCACCCTTACACAAAGAAGGGGAATAGGACTGCCCAATTATCGAATCCACAACACCCACCATGTTGATTGCCTGGGCTTCGAATTCCTTCCCACCACGTTCCTCCATGGCGGCGGTTTTACGACACGGCCGCCAGCAATTACCCGGCTCAGCGGAATCTTGTGATCCGCTCTTAACCAAAGGAGGGAGAGAGGTAGTCCTGATTGTCATTTTCGGCTTGACAATCATGTTGGGTTTAGTTACTACCAACTCCTCCCGCTCTAACTCCTCCATTGAGGGAATCTTGAACAACCACACAACTTTTTTCGAGAAACGACGCCTCTTAGCGTCAGCTTCATAGGAGCCAATCTCATCTGTCGGGATCTGCCCAACCTTCCGTTTTTCGCTTCTTTGCTTTGCGCTTCTGTGCTTTGAACAGAGATCAACAAGGAAAGTTCTTCCTTCGTCAGGAGACGCCTTGTGTCGTCGGCGAACGGAGAGGGGTTCTGCAAACTCCACCTTCCTACCCATGAGATAACGAGTCCCAGGTTTTCTTGGCTTCCGCTGAATCACCCAACATTGATTACGCAGGCAGCTGAGGAAGATTGAGATCACCATAGTAAACAAAAGTTTCCCCACCCAGCGGGCAGGGTTTAGGAGAGAGGAGAGAGCTCTCCTCATTTTTTCCCCCCAATCTTTTGATTGATTAGTAAGAAACTAAGAATGGAGCAAAGAGAGAATTTTGATTTTCACCTTACCGTTGACACTATCTGACACCTTTCTCTCTTTTCCCGACGGACAGATACCGTTACTAGTTTTCTATTGAGAATTTACTGACGGTTTTTTTGGATCAATGATGCTATAATCTTCTTTAAATATTTTTTGTGTGTGTCTTTTTCGAATTGCACTTCTGCTCTCTCTAATATTCGTTACGAAACACCATATTTAAATGCAGAAATGAATTTCATAAGAGGAACTGTTATGATGATCGTACTGCTGCTTCAACCGATTGTCTTTCTATTCAAGCTTTTGTTTGGAAGGAGAGATCTTGATGCCTCTCAACAACTAAAATTCCCCAAAAAATGTAACTACAGCATACAAAAAATGGAACTACAACTAATTTGTACCCAATCTGCTGATGCCCGGCAAGAGTTAAGTCAATCCTAACAAGGGCTGGCCCAAAACATAAGAAGAAGTTTTCTCCAAACTGAAAGGATTTAGGGGGTTTGTACAACAGGTCCCACGTTCGAAACCCCACCAACGCATAATATCACAGTTAAAATTAACACTTTTCATATTAAAATATTATGAAAACTGTGGATCGAACCAGGGCACCAGAATAGCGTACTAGTGCAATGAACACCATCAGACTACAATCAATTTTGTTGTAACAATATTGCCCAGAGTTTTATTTAAACGTTTTACCAGAAAGTGTACAACTTTTAAAATACACAATAAAACTCAGAAGATGTACTAATATCTAAAACAGGCAATAGTGTAGTAAGTAGACCTACAAATCATCTACAATTGGAAAAAAAGTTTGCACCAATCCTGCAACCGAGCGCAAAGTTACGGCCCTCCGAAGTTTGACGAAAGTTACCCTAATCAGATGCCTGAGCACAAAGTTACGATCTCTTAAAGTTTTCAAAAAACCTACGTAGTAGAGGAAGGTGGAAGGGACGGGGGAGTGCCTGCTTTAAGTTTCCGAATTATTTAATTATCCTACCTAGCAACACTATAACAAACATCCGCTGCTGTCCCTTTTGGTCAGAGTGCACAAAGTTGTGCCACACTATACAGTAACACGCGTTCGAGCCCGGTAATTACCCCTTTTTATTTTTTTTGTCTTCTTCATCACTAACCCTAATCTTTCCAACCGACTCGCTCTTTCTCACTTCTTACGGGTAGTTATCATAAATGGTAACAATTCTATTCACTTTGTACGAAACGATCACAATCCTTTAATTTTGCACATTTTGGTAATAAAGGTTTGAACGAATAACGATTTGGTCAATCCGTCCAATTCCGTTCAAGATTCCGTCACCTTTTGCCCAGTCAGCATGACACATCATCAAAATTATTAATTATAAAATTAATTAATCACCCCACTTAACCCACACAACCCAACCGGTCGTTCTTTACCACCCCTTCCAGAATTGGAGAAAGCCGGTGACTGAGAGATAGTGTTCTTCTCCACCACTCCGCCATCGGAAATCTCCTCCTTTCTCTGGCCGCTTCCTCCATACCTCCGATTCCTCCCGAAATCAACAATAGCAAAGACACCTCTACCCCGCAGCGCTCCCTTCCCCTCTTCCTCCACCTCGACGCGCCACAAGGACTTCCCCGATTCGTCCATATTGCTCGGTCGGAGCACCGATGAGATTTCCACCAGCCGAGACGAGCGTGCACTGGAGGAGGGAGATGGGCACTTCACGGTGACTAGATAGGCAAATAGAAAGTTAATTTTTGGGAAGGCGAGAGAGGGGTATAGATCGGAGGGGAGGTGGGCGACGACGATTTGAGCACCGAGCAGGAGAGATGAAAAACGACGCCGAGCCGGGGAGGTGGATGATGATGGCGATGCACACGCCGAGTAGGGAGGCGGGAGACGACGACGACGAGCCGAGCAGAGGAGGTGGGGAGACGACGCCGCCGAGTAGGGGAACTGAAGAATGATTTTTGGTTTCCCCTGCTGAGAAGATCAATAGATGACCAGGAGCAAGCCAGAACTCGGCGGCGACCTAGGTCTTCAATTCCTTTTTTTATTTTTTATTTTAATTCTAGGTTTGGTTTGACCGGGGTCGATTGGGTTTGTTATCAATTTTTATTAATATTTTACGTGACGTGTCATGCTGACTGGAGAAAAGATAACAGTTTCTTGGACGGAATTGGACGGATTGACCACTTTGTTATTTGTTCAAACTTGTTTTACCGAAATGTACAAAATTAAAGGATTGTGACCGTTTTGTACAAAGTGAATAGAATTGTGACCATTTATGATAACTACCCCACTTCTTACTGGGTATACGATTTGGATTGCGTTCTTCCATGCTTCCCAAGTCCCTCGGATTTGAATAAGGATGCCGGCAACCAATCGCTCTTTGCCTACTTCTTACTGGGTATACGATTTGGATTGCGTTCTTCCATGCCTTCTTTCATGTACCTTAGGTTTGATTCGGCTAATTCATCGATCTGTTAAAGTTTTCATGTACCGCCTGCTGATGAAGAGAAGGTTTCAGTGCTTGTTTTTGAGGTATGCGAATCCCTATATATATTCCTCGATGGGGTTTGGCCCCAAAGTCTGTTTAGGAAGATGATAGGCAAATTTCTATTGCGTCGGATGATCAATTTGGGATAAATGTTCTGGGTTCTCATCTTTACAAATCCAATTTGAAGTGACTAACATTCTTTCTTTTCTTCTTATTGTCACCAAGCTAGAAGTTCTGATATTTGAATTTTTGGTGCAGGGCATTGTGTTGTTCTTCTTGGTTGCAAGTGGTTCGTTCGTGTACTATCGAAAGAAGCAGACAGGAACAATGCCAGGTGCAGGTAGGATCCAAATGAACTCTCGGTTTTGAACCCTTTTTTTATTTTGTCCTTCTGAGACTCTCCTTGCATAGCATGTTCCATCCCCATTCCGCCTCTTCCAAGCACTTCGATACACATTCGTGTTTCACTGTAATTGTTGAGTTTCATGTATGTATTGCTCTCCACAGACACATTTTTAATGCGTCCAAGCGTAGTTTTATACCAGCTTCCTTTTCTCGTTCAGATTTGGTGCATGACTGAACAAAGTCTGTTCGAACTGAGACTTGATTCTCAATTGCAAACTAGTAAGAAGTTCCAAGGTAACGTGTTCCCCTGCTTGATTATAGCTCTCCATCATTCATATGATAAAATTTCTGAATAAGGATGAATCCCTTTTAATCATCTGTTTGTATAAACCAACGTGAACTTGTTGTGATATTGAATTTAAGGGCTGCGAATTTTACTTGTATTAGGTGGTATTCATCTTGAATGTACATTTGAGAAATATGGCTCCTAATAAGGATTGGATGAATCTTGTTTATGATCGACTTGGTCAGGATTATGATCGAGGAGTTCAAGAGTTTCTTGATTATGCTTTTCAAAGGGGCGAGATAAATGGTAATGCAACATTAGGAAATGCTGTAATGCAACATTAGGAAATCCTGTAATGCAACATTACGAACTCGTGAATCAATTACAACGCATCTTAAGGTTTACGAGATCATTCGAAATTTTACATTTTGGTATCATCACGGGGAAAAGATTACTTTGGTGTGTTATCTGAAGTTGTTGAATTGCAGTTTATTGGAGGAAGAAGAGTGAGTGGTTTTGTTCCATTGTGATTGGTTTGATATCCACGATGGAAAGAAGGTAGATGAATATGGGATTGTTAGCATTAATCAAAATAGATCTCTAAAGACAGACGAACCATTTATTTTAGCAAGTCAAGCATCTGACAAAGGGTTGGCATCTGGTCATTAAAGTCCAGCCTCGTGAGTACTAATCTACAAACTGTATTTTTGCTTGTAACCATGTTAATTATTGATTTTGCGAAAAAGAATTCTAGGGAGTGACTTCTTTTTATCTGCTTAGGCTGTAATGTGTCATTAAGATGTCTGATGTTTAATTTAAATATGTTGATGTCAGGTCTCTTCTGCTTGGACCAGTGTTGAACAAAAATTCCTCTTTACTTGAGTTCATTATATGAAATTATTACTCAACCCCAACTAGCAAGCTTGTGTTCTTACACCACGATGCAGTTTTGAAGATAACAGGTTTGCTTAATCGATGTTATGTTATTTTCGGTATCCTCGATCACTTTTGTGCTTCATCATCTGTGAATACATTGCTAGTCTCCTCTCTGAGAGCGGATCCCATGACTAAGGGGGGTCCTTAGTCACTTGACTAAGCCCCTCCTAGCCATTAGATCTGGACACTTCAATCCAATGGTTAAAAAGTAGGAAGGCCTATTTAATTAATGACAGGGGTAGTTTGGGTATTATAGAAAATTACGAAGTATACAAACCGGATTTACAATCAGTACAAACCATACAAACATACGAACAATACAAACTGGAGCGACAAAACATACAAACATTACAAACGTATGAACTGTACAAACAATACAAACTAGACTGACAAACAATACAAACCATACAAAAAGAAAAAACACCTGGGTTGACTTTGGAGGCTCCATCCCTATATAGAGGGGCTCCTTCCCAAAGTCAACCCGGGTGTTTTTTAGACATACAAACAGTACGAACATGGTGGACAAAAATGACAAACTAGACCGACAATCCATACGAATGGGAAAAAACACCCGGGTTGACTTTGGAGGCTCCATCCCTATATAGAGGGCTCCTTCCCAAAGTCAACCCGGGTGTTTTTTAGACATACAAACAGTACGAACATGGTGGTATTGGCAAGACCACTACTGCGAGAGCTGTCTATAGCAAGATTTCTGCTCACTTTGATCGACATAGTTTTTTGGAAAATATACGAGAAACACAAGCGCAAAAAGATGGTGTCATCAATTTGCAAAATAAGTTAATCTCTAATATTATGAGAACAGACTCTGTTGGATCGATTAATAATGCTGATGAAGGAAGGAGAATACTACGAGATAGAGTTTCCCAGTTCAAAGTTCTTATCATTCTTGATGATGTTGATGAGAATTTTAAGTTCAAAGACATTTTGGGAAATGCTGGGAATTTTGCTTCTGGAAGTAGATTCATAATCACATCCAGAAACAAGAAACTCTTGAGTACCTTCAATGAAAGCCAATGCAAGTTGTATGAAGTTCGAGAAATGAGTCCAGAACTTTCACTTCTACTCTTCTGCAAGCACGCATTCAAAACCGATTCTCCTCCTCAAGATTTCACAATTTTGTCGAAAAAAATTGTATCAACTGCAGCTGGACTTCCATTAACACTCAAAGTTTTAGGATCACTTTTGTTCCGAGAAGAAAAATCAGTTTGGGAGGATAAATTGTCAATGCTGGAAAAAGCTCCCCAACAAGAGGTAAAAGAGAGACTAAAGATAAGCTATGATGCGTTGGAATACGGGACCAAACAAATATTTTTGGACATCGCTTGTTTCTTTATCGGCATGAAAAGGAAAATAGCTTGTTATTATTGGAGTGATTGTAAATTTCATCCGGTGAGTAGTATTAATATCCTACTTCAGAGGTCCATGCTGAAAATTGGGGATGACGATAAATTTCAAATGCACGATCAAATGAGAGATATGGGGAAAGCTATCGTGTGTGAGGAAAATATAGAAGAACCCTGGATGAGAAGCAGAGTAATGGATGATGAGGAAGGTTTGGAGCTGTTGCAGAACAATAAGGTATTTTCCAAATGTCTCTTGGTTTAATTTCAAATTTTACGAGTTTTAACTATTATAGTTCCAATTCCATATGGTTATCATGAACTTTATTCATAAGATAGATTTAACACGAAATCCATCCTTTGTCTACTCAGGGATCCATGGGTTTTTTTGGGAGGGCTGAAACCCGAGCAATTTGTGAACTTATCAGAGTTAAGATATTTCGAAGCAGAGGGCACCGAGTTCAGTGGAAACTTCAACAATGTAGTTCCAAACATTAGATGGTTGCGCTTGCATTCACACTACAATCATGGTCATAACCCAAGAAATTTTCATATGAGGAATCTAGTGATTCTTGATCTCGCAAGATCCATTTTCTTAAATCGTGATTGGGGAGGTTGGAGGCAAATAAAGGTATGCTTAATTGTAGAATTCAACTTAATTACTTGTTGTTGTTGTTTTTCTTCTTCTTATATATAAAAGTTTTTTGCCCGCGCTTCACGGCGGTAAGAATTTGATCATATCTAAAGTTTGGTCCACTCTTTTACTCATTTAATGATTAATTTGAAATCAAATGATTCACAAAATAGTTCGAGTATATATATCTTGACAATTTTCTATGTAGTTTCTTAATTATTATAGAAAAATTATATAATACATTTGTTTGTTAAGTGATACTTAAGAAATAACTACCCATTTATAAGTTTTAAATAATGTATTCATAATTTAAATAACAGTTGTAGAACGAAGTTACCTAAATCTTTCATAATATGTGGTCTAATAATAAAATCACGTTACGAAAATATTATATTTGATTAAACTAAAATGAAAAGTTAATTTACCTTACAGATTTTGCATAATGCAAATTGTTAATTATCATTTTTTCTTTAATATATTTATAATATGTAAATCCTTTGTAATGTGAAATGAAAAAGTGTCGAGATATTTGTCTAAAGGTGAAAGAGTTTATTGTGAAATCGAGTGCAGGAGATTGAAAAAATATTTGATTAAACAACTGACTGTGAGAAAAAAGAGCTTATGGTAAAATTGAGTGTTGAGTACAAAAAAATCCGCTGAAATATGAAAACGTACCGAGATAGAAGTCTAAAGGTAAATACAACATTCTAGGGAAACTGGATGCAAAAAATGAAAAATAAAAATTATATAAACAACTTACTATTGGCTAAAAGATGATAGTAAAACTGAGTGTAGAGTATATAGATATCTTGAATTTTTTTTATGTAGTTTCTTAATTATCACAGAAAACTTATATAGTACGTTTATTTAAGTATCAAAGTGATACTTAAGAAATAACTACCCATTTATAAGTTTTAAATAATGTATTTATAATTTAAATAACAGTTATAGAACGAATTTACTTAAATCTTTCATAATATGTGGTCTAATAATAAAATCAAGTTATGAGAAATATCATATTTGATTAAACTAAAATTAAAAAGTAAATTTACCTGACAGATTTTGCATAATGTAAATTTTTAATTATAGTTTTTACTTAATATATTTATTATATGTAAATCCAAGTAACGAGATATTTGTCTAAAGTTAAAAGAGTTTATGGTGAAATTGGGTGCAGTATATGTAAATCCAAGTATCGAGATATTTGTCTAAAGGTAAAAGAGTTTATGGTGAAATTGGGTGCAGAAAAAAATATTTGATTAAACAACTGATTGTGAGAAAAAAGAACTTTGGGTAAAATTGAGTGTTGAGTACAAAAAAATCCGCTGAAAAATGAAAAAGTATTGAGATAGCTGTCTAAAGATAAATACAAAATTCTAGTGAATTTGGATGCAAAAAATGAAAAATAAAAAACTACATAAACAACTGACTATAGGCTAAAAGATGAAAATAAAATTAAGTGTAGAGTATAAAAAATCCAGTAGCTATTGAATGTGGGAAAATCTCATTGACAACTGATTGTAGGAAAAAAGAAAGTTACTATAAAATTGGTCAAATCGGATAGAGTATAAAAAACATAACAACAATTATAGGTTGGGTTGTTAATAATTAGTGGCCGGTGATATATGTTAGCTTTATTTAATCCATATTCTATTGGGTTGGTTGTTATGAGGAAAAAAGGAGATGCTATAAATGAGTCCACGGAAAAAACCCCTCCAATGAACAGTAACCCCAATACTTGCACTTTTAATAAATTGATTGATTGATGTGCGTATGATATTTACACATTGCAGAAGGCAAACAAGCTAAAAGTTCTGGATCTTTCCGGTTGTGGAACCTTACCAACAAAACTTCCTGATTTTCCTGAATCCGGGAGCCTAGAAATGCTAAATCTTTCTGGCTTCAGAAGCAAGAAGCTGAATATCGAGAATTTGTGGAACCTGAAATTGCTAAATCTGAACGGATGTGAAATAAAAATGGTAATTGGGGGAACCATTGGAATGCTGAAGTGCCTGGAAGAGCTTGATCTCACCAACCTCCAATGTGACAATTGGAAGGAATTGGTTGTTGATATTGGTGAATTGCAATCTATAAAGGTCTTGAAAACTATTGGACTAAAGCGTATTCCCTCGTACATGGAGTCAACTACCGAAGAAGAAGAAGAAGATGATGATAAATATGAAGAGGAGAGTGAAGGAGAAGGTGAAGAAGGAGAAGAAGAAGATGATGATGAAGAGGGGAGTGAAAGAGAAGGAATTTTCGATGACGAGGATCAAGATGAAGATGGAGGAGAAAGGGGAGAAGAGGAGAAGAAGTCTACTACCAAAGAAGAGGAGGAGAAGGAGAAGAAGCGGAGGATGAGAAAGATGGAGAAGGAATTCCTGATGACGAGGAACCAAATTACAAGAAAGAAGGCAAAAGTAATTATAAGGGTGAGCGGGGAGGAGAGGGGAATGAAAAACTTCCCCCAAGTTTGAAGGTGCTACACACTTCATTCCGAGTTGCTAATCTCTCGGAACTAGTGGAGTTGGAGGAGTTAGCTGTCCAAAATTGTGATTTCGGACTCGAGATCCCTCCCGTGGGAGACGTGGGCACAAATGCTAATAATGACACCGCTAGTACGTGGTGGAAGGTATCTAAATTGAAGTCTCTGACGCTCCATAAAGCAAAGTTTGTCGTGGCAGTAGAGAACAACAGTAGCAGCATCAGTACTACTACTAATAGTAGTACTGTTGCAACAACTCCCTCATCATCTCGGGTGTTGCTGCCGTCGTTTCTGTCGAAGCTCCACATTTCGAACTGTTCGATGCTGGAGTGGCTACCGAACTTGGAGAATCTAGAAAACCTGACCGAATTTACCATCAAGGTGTGCAGCAATCTACGACGGATCCAAGGCCTAGAGCATCTGTCGCAGAAATTCAAAAAGTTGCACAAGCTAGAGATAACATCTTGCCGTGGTCTCCTAGAATCCACATTCGGCGGTGACAAAAACATCGGCCCTCTACGGGAGTTGTGCATCCGCAAGTCTGGCGGCGGCGTACCTCATTTGTCGAACTTCCCCGGGCTTACGGCCTTGGAAATCGGGGATATAGTTTTTGCCGACCGTGATTCTGAGCTGCAGGTAACGATACATTTCCGTCACAAAAATTTTCGTCGCTAAAAATAAAAATTAATTGATATTTGGTTGCGTAGGATTTTGTATCGCGCCTTGAGGGGATTGCCGGGCTGGCAAATTTGGAGCAACTGAGGCTGTTTGAGTTGCTAACGTTAGAGAGGCTTCCTTCACTCTCCAAGCTACGAAAGCTGTCGAAGTTAGCCATCCATGATCTGCCGAAACTGCGCGAGATCCAGGGCCTTGCTGACCTGAAGTCTTTGGAGCGATTGATGCTCGCCGGTTGTGAATCTCTAGAGAAGTTGATACTGCCGCCTGCAGCTGATCGCCGTTTGAAGGAAATCGATATTCGAGGATGTAAGAGCTTGCGTTCTGCTGATCTCTCTGTTCTCAAGGCTGATTATCTGCCTGCAGGTGAAGTGCACATCCAATGGCCGCATGAGCTGTACAAATCTGATGATGCACCGGCGATTTTCCCAGACGAGACTTATTCGTCAGGCTGCTCAATACAGTAGTACGCACTTGGTAATTAGCCTTCTCAATCAAATCTTATTAGTTATAGTATTAAGTCTATCTGAATTTCAACGTCGAATATGATGGCGAGACTTAACGACCTTCTTTTCTCCGTATCTTATTCTCTTGTATACTGTAATATTCTGGGTTGAGATATCGTGAAATTGTTTTTTTTATAAGGGTGATATATATATTTATTTTTATAGTTGGGTATGATTTATTTAATGCATTCGAATATGCGATCTTCAGGGTTGAGATTAGTGGTATTACCACTAAATCAAGTTCTTGTTCGAAATCGTGTGATTGTTAAATTGTGCGTGTACAATACGGCAACGTGTGTGCTGTTCGAATAAAGATGTGGATTGTTAACTCTGGTACTAACTTTAATGAAAATGGCTAATAAGTTGTATTTCAAAAGGTTAGACTATTCGAGTATGAGGCTCCCTATCCCTCCGAAGCTAAAGGTCTTTCTCTAACAAAATTTCAATCGCCTTTTGACAACCATGGAAGCTCTGATTGAGAAGGATGTTCAAGTTTTGCCTCGTTGCCTGGTTTGCTGGGCAGTTGAGGAGACTATGGAACACCTCTTTATGAAGTGCCCGGTGGCAAGAGCAATATGGGATCATGTTGGCCTAGAGACTTTAGGCCAAGGGCTCCCTCGCCAAAACTTCTCCTCTCTTTCTTAAGAAGTTGATTTTACTGCTTACTCAACCCCATCAGAACATGGCTTGCATTTGAGTGGATATGACAGGTCATAAATGAGGTAGGACGTGGCAAGGTAGATGAAAAATAGGACTCATGCCACGCCCACGCAGTATGCTACTACGTGCCCGATAATACCCATCATAGCATGGGTCCGGCGGACAGGCATATACCTAATCACGCAGGTTCAAATTGTCATCCCTTACTCCACCATTTTTTTTTTGGGTGCGACTTACTCCACCACTTTGAGAACACTTAAAAAATGGTGTTTCTTTGCCTTTTATTAACAACAATTCCTCTTTTCCGCCGGTGCATTTCCAGTCAATCTTCTATGTTTTTTAGTTATATTTGTTCAAACGTAACCTCGATCTATGCATGTCTAAATAAAACAATGGATACCTTACTTATTATTATCTACATGAGATGAAAGACGAAAAGAACATGTACTTTAACCCTTCATTCTTTTTCTTTTCTATAGAAGAACCTAAAGCTTCCTCCAAAACCAAGCAAGAGATCACTCTGTTTTGAATTTGAGAATCCAAAGAAAATCTTGTTAACTAAGCATTGTGTTCTCCACGACCTTTACTTGAACAGGATCTGTTCTATATGCTCTTACCTCTGTATTCTTAAGCATTGTGTTCTCCCCTTCTATAAATACACCTACAAGGATGTCCCATTGGAAGGCAGATAGGTTTCCCCAAACGATAGAGAGACAAGTTTTGAGAGCTAGCTATTAATTAAGATCCCTCAGGTACCATTATAATTTTTTTTAAAATTATTCACAGTTTGATGCTTTTTATATGCGTGATATAGCTAGGTTGATTTTTATAATTCGATATGTTTGAGCCAAGTACTCTCCGGTCCCACCTCTCTGGACCCCCGACTGATGAACTCCTTTGGGGCGCCTAGACCCTGCACAGACAAGCGCCTAAAGGGCTTTCGGATGCCCGTTAGCACTCCAACGCTCAAGTCAGTGCCAAATCTAGAGAGATAAGTGCTAAGAGAGATTTTAGTGAGAGAAGCCAACCTGCTTAAATGCCACCTACTGAGTACTATTTATACTCGTCGAGGTCCCGACCGGGCTCCTAGAATTCAGCTCCACGTCAGCTCGTCATTAAATGCTCGGTACGGCCCAACGGTCGGGCGTCTACACGTGGCAGCTCCTAGGCTCCTAAGCCTGGGCGCCCGTCGGGACCACATTGCCAGGTGGCACGCCCTCAGCCCCCTGGTCTCCCAGGTGCACGGTCCCCGCCCTATTTTTGTCGCTATGCGCCTGCTTCACATAACCTGGGCCTGACTCCTAGCTTACATCCCCTTCTCCTAATTCTCAGGTGGGCTTGGGTTCATGCATTCCCCCTGGGCCCATGTCCCCCAATGGTCCAATTATGCTTACCCAACACGATACTAACTAAAGAATTCGAAATTGCGACCTCCAGATTCATGAATAGTGTTATATATAGGGCAGATGTTTTTTTAAATATAGCGTTGAAAATTGTTCTAGCTAGTTCACTTTGGAAAAGAATATGCTATGTGCATGTAAGCTGGAATCAGTCCATCTCCCATAAATTTTGTGGCAGGAGATCAGCAATGAATCTTATAATGATTGTTTTCACACATTTTAAATGAAAGAATCTAACTAATTGCGAGCTTAAAGTTTGCGTAATGGATCATACTATGTAGTTTAATTTACTATTAATGTCGAGAATTAAAAAAAATCTGAAAACATAGCTTCCATCTATTGCCCGTTTATGTTCTTATCATTTTTATCTAAGTCTTGGTATTTATCTTATCCAGGATATACCCATCATGAGCAACAAGAGCTCCAGCTCCCATCCTCCTCTCGTCTGCATAAACGTAGCGTCGGAACTGCCCATCAAGTTGTCCGGCGCCAATTAATTGGTCACGGCAGTTTCATAGCCTTGTAGTTGGTCACGGACTGTGTGGTTACATCGACGGTACTAGCCCTCCTCCAACCGACGACGTTACCTCCGCCGCCTTCCAACACTGGAACCGTCAGGACCAGCTTCTCTTTCACGCAATCTTGGCGTCGGTTCAAGAAGAAACCGTCGCCCCCTTGATCTTGACATCTCCGTCTGCTCGCGATGCTTGGCTGACCTTGGAGCGGCTCTACGCCAGAAGCTCACCATCTCGTGTCACAGAACTGAACAATAAGTTGTCGCGTCTGGCTCGAGGGAAGGATGAATCCGTCCTCGAGTTCATGACTTCGTTGAAGCGGATCGCTAACGATCTCTTCATCATTGGCCACCCCATTGACGAATCTCAGCTTGTTCTCCGTGCCCTCGACGGTGTTGGTGCCGAGTTCAAGGACTTGGTTGATGCCATTCGTGCTAGAAACGCTCCGATTTCATTTTTGGAATTGTTCGAGGAGCTTGTTGAATTCGAAACGTTCCTGCGGAGAGAGGAGGTGGGTGATACTACTAGTGTGGCTATTGCTCCTGTCGTTGTTTGTCAGTACTGTGACGAGCCAGGTCATTCTGCTAAGACCTGCCAGCGCATCATCAATCCGCCTCAACGCTTTCTCACAACTGAAAAAATTACCAATGCTCTCAGGAACATGTCCTTTAGTAAGTTCTTTCTGAATCACAGCTTCAACATCAATGGTGAATTGGTGATGGTTCAGGTTTGTCAATCACTCCGGTATCATGCATATAAGTTTGGCCGATTTGGTTTCCAGATCAAAATCTTTGCCCTTCTTAATTAATGAGTGTAGGATAGGGAGCATAACTTTAGTTATGCATCTTTGTGCAACTAGATTTGAGCACTTATTTTTTAGTGGACCCAGAAAAAAAATTCAGATCTAAAGAGTGAATATTAATATCAAGCATTACCATCATGGTATAGAATGATAATAAGTATCTCATTTTTTGTTTCAAAAATATATTAAATTGAATATCATTTTAAAAGTACAATTAATCTAATTTAGTTGTGCAAAAAATTAAATTACGACTTCAAACGAAAGAGATATAGCCCGTTAAAATTTAAAGGAAAAATGTTAGAAGCTTTACACAAATGATAATATGACAGGTTATACATGGCCTATGTTTAGCCCGACTTTTAGAAGTGATTTTCGGCTTCAAAAGCTGAAGTAGGGCCAAACGTCTGTAAAAGTGATTTTCTATAACATAAAAGATTGGAGCTTCTGCGAGAAACTGTTCTGAAAATACAAGATTATCTTTAGCATATTTTAATTTTATTTTAGAAAATATAATATTACTTAATATAAAATAAGTCTAACAAGATCCATTTTGACTACTTTTATTTTTTAAATTTTTTTAATTTATATTACAAATCCTTTTTAGTAATTTTAAATGAACTCTTACATTAAAAAACATGATTTTTTCCTAAAATACCACTAAAAAGAAAAAATTTCAAAAATAACACTCATTTTCGAAATTTTCTAAAAACACTACCATTTTTCGAAAACCGTCTGGTGGGGGCATGGTTTTTTATGTAAACCGCATGGGTGGGGGGCATTTTGGTGACCGCATGGGGTCGGGGCGGTTTGGTCCAAAATTGCTGCCCCACCCAGCGGTTTGGTCCTATTTTCCCCCCGATAAATCCTAGCCTAGGTGGAAACTTCAAATGAACGTATCTTTGTGCTCGGTGATCCAATCGTAGCAATTTTTTTTTAATTCCACATAACTTTTTAAGATCTTCCAAGCCGCAAATGACTGTAGGCAGTTCGATCCCACCTTCGTCCCAAAAAAAGTCGTTTGCTACCCCCAACAAGCTTTTTTCTGATTTCGCCAAACTTTGGACCGTTATAACTTTGTGCTCCGCACTCCGAACATCATGAGTTCTTTTTTTATTTCGCATAACTTTTTAAGGACTACAATTTGTACCATAGCCATAATTTTGGAATGTACGTGGATTTGTGAAAAGTGAAGGTAAAGTTATTGCCAAAATCCCGTTTATCCAAAAGTAATTCCTATTTTGAAAAATCCTTCATAATAAAAGTTGTTGTCCTTAAAAAGTTATGCAAAATAAATAATATTCATGACGCTCGGAGTGCGGAGCACAAAGTTATGGCCGTCCAAAGTTTGGCGAAATCGGAAAAAGCTCGTTCGGGGTAGTAAACGACATTTTTTGGGACAAAAGCGGGACCAAACCGCCTATGGCTGTTTGCGGCTTGCAAGATCTGGAGAAGTTATGCGGAATAAAATTTTCTTTTGCTACGATCGAATACCCGAGCACAAAGATACGTTCGTTTAAAGTTTACACCCATGTTAGGATTTATAAAAAAAAGAGGACCAAACCGCTGGGTGGGGCAGCGGTTTGGACCAAATCGCCCCCCACTCATGCGGTTTACATCGAAAACTGCATTCCCACAAGGCGGTTTTCGAGAAATGATAGTATTTTTGAAAAATTTCAGAAATATGTTGTATTTTTGAATTTATTTAGTGGTATTTCTAGAAAAAATCCTAAAAAGCACTTCTAATGGTTTTTTACCCAAACACTCAACTGTTTTTATTGAAAAGTACTTCTATAAAAACTCAAGCAATAAACTATTTTTGCAAAAGCCACTGCAGAACCAAACTAGTCCACGATTATGACCAAAAGTTTGACAAAAAACTGCTCCCTTGTAACTCAATAAAATTTAATAAGAGTGAAATATAATACACCATATTTCAATGCAGAAATGAATTTCATAAGAGGAACTGTGATGGCGATCGTACTGCTGCTTCAACCTATTGTCCTTCTATTCAAGCTGCTGTTTGGAAGGAGAGCTCAAGATGCTCCTCAACAACTACAGGCTATCAACCACTCTGCCATTGTTCCTGCTACAGTAGTGGCCGACTCAGAAGATGGAATAAAAAACAGTAACAATATTTCTCAACAATCAGATGCTACTGGCTCTGCTTCTTCTCCTTCCGCCCCTCCAGCTGGTTCTAATTCCGGAGACGACGATTCTATTTCGCTTCCCCTTCCGTTCGCAGAGTACGAGGTGTTTCTGAGCTTCAGAGGTCCGGACACTCGTCACCAATTCACAGACATCCTTTATCGTTTCCTCGTGCGATTAAAAATTCGTACATTTCGGGATGATGACGAGCTACGAACGGGAGAAGGAATATGGCCCAACCTTGTCAAAGCCATCGGACAGTCCAAGATCCATGTTCCTGTAATGTCGGAGACTTATGCTCACAGCAAATGGTGTCTTATGGAGCTTTCCGAAATGGCTAAACGCCGAAAGCAAGAGAAAGGACACATCATACTCCCCATTTTCTATATGACGAACCCTAGAGATGTACGACATCAAACCGGGCCTTACCAAAGCGCATTTCAGCAACACGACAAGGACTTTGATTCGGGAACTGTGCAGGAGTGGAGAGCTGCTTTGAATGAGATTGGAGCTCTAAAAGGATGGCACGTCAAGAGCAAAGATGAGTACGAAGCTCCACCTAGCCTTTATTAATTACAAAAAATTAATTTGTTCTTTTTTTTTGGTAATACAAAATTAATTTGTTCTAATTATACTTAAAATCATTTTCCCTTTAATCTGGAGAGTCCGGTTCCACGGTAAAAAGGAGAGGAAAGTTTTATCCTTTCCTATTTTTCCACTACTAAAAAACAGAATGAAAACTGCTGAGAATTGGGTTTTCCTTCCTCTTTCCTGACGTTGGAAAACTTAACAGTGAAACTCACTAACCAACAAACTACCAATAAGTAATAACTAATAACCGCTTGATCTAGTAGTAATGTTATGAGGTTCGAAATTTAAATCTATTACCTAACCATAAAACATAAACTTATATCATCCTGGTAAAAAAAACTACTAATAAAATGTTTGTCAATTCCCACGAATGAAGTCCAACTTCGAATCCATTATTAAATAGTACCTAATCATAAAAAAATAAACTTATATCATACTTGTGAAAAAACTACTAATAAAATGTTGGTCAATTCCCGCAATTGAAGACCAAAACTCCAGAATTTCATGGAATCTCATGAAATATCCATTGAAAACTATAGAAATGATTTCTTAAAATATTCGGCATCTCTCTTATTGTTAAGTTACGTATTTGTCACTTATCTCATAATGAGACTACAATAATCACAAAGAACATTGAAATTTACAGGCAGGGAGCAGTATCAGAGTGTGTCTCTGATGTTGTATGGTCCCATCTAAGCAAAAATGACAATTTTTCGGATACAGATGAGTTGGTTGGAATTGATGATAGCGTTGAAGCAGTTGTAGAAAAATTGAGCTTAGACGTTGGAGGTGCGGCAATGGTTGGTCTTCATGGGCTTGGTGGTATTGGTAAGACCACTATTGCCAGAGCAGTATACAACAAGATTTCTGCTCGCTTTGACCGACGTAGTTTTTTGGAAAATATACGGGAAACGCAACAGCAGAAGGATGGTGGCATCAGTTTGCAAAAGAAGTTAATCTCTAACAGTATGAGAATAGATTATGTTGCACCTATTAACAGTGTTGAAGAAGGAAGGAGAATAATACAAGATAGAGTTTCCCAGTTCAAAGTTCTTATCATTCTTGATGACGTGGATGAGAGTTTTAAGTTTGAAGAGATTTTGGGAAACTCTGGTAATTTCGCTTGTGGAAGTAGGTTTATAATCACATCCAGGAACATGAAACTCTTGAGTACCTTCAACGAAAGCCGATGCAAGTTGTATGAAGTTCGTGAAATGGGTCCTCAACTTTCTCTTCAACTCTTCTGCAAGTATGCGTTCAAAACTGATTCTCCTCCTCAAGATTTCACAACTTTGTCGGAAAAAATTGTCACGACCGCGGCAGGACTTCCATTAACACTTAAAGTTGTAGGATCGCTTTTGTTTCGAGAAGAAAAATCAATTTGGGAGGATAAATTGTCAATGCTGGAGAAAGCTCCCCAAAAAGAGGTCAAAGAGAGGCTAAAAATAAGCTATGATGCATTGGAATACGAGACCAAACAAATATTTTTGGATGTCGCTTGTTTCTTTATTGGCATGGAAATGAAAATAGCTTCTTACTATTGGAGGGATTGTAAATTCCATCCAGTGAATAGTATTAATATCCTACTTCAGAGGTCCATGCTGAAAATTGGGGATGACAATGAATTTCAAATGCATGACCAAATGAGAGATATGGGGAGAGCGATTGTGTGCGAGGAAAATATAGAAGAACCCTGGATGAGGAGTAGGGTATGGGATGATAAGGAAGGTACAGAGCTATTACTCAACAAAAAGGTATTTTCAAATGTCTCTTTGGTTTAATTTCAATTGCTACAAGTTCTAATTAGGTTAAATACACTTGTATATCCAAAAGTATCACGTTTGTGCCAATAATATCCAAAAAACCGGAAATACCACTTATATCCAACTTCGTCACATTCTTTGACGGTGTTAACGTTAAGTCTGACTGGACTAACGGTGGTGCTTACGTGGCGAACGCCTATTTCCCAATTCCTCTTTACTTATCCACGTGTATAGCTAATTAATATTATTTATAAAAAAAAATTCAGTTGACTCCATCTGACCTCATCCTCGACTCGACCCAACTTTCTACCCATCTAAAATTTTCCATCTCACCAACCCCTAACCCTTCGGCTGTCCAGTTCGACGAAGGCGACGAAGGAGAGGGATTTTGACGAAGGCGACGAAGGAGGACGACGGCGACGGAGGAAGACGAATGCGATGGAGAATGACGAAGGCAGCGACCCCCCTATTCCGTCGTATCCCCTGATTCTCCTTCATCCTTCGTCGATCTACCTTCTCGCCCACCTTCGAAGAAACCCTAATCGCGACGAACCCTGGAAACGCGACGAGCTTAGGCTGCCTCTCCCTATCCTTCCTTTCCGGTGGAAACCCCCTATGCGCGACGAGCGACGAACCCAGGAAACCCGAGGATAGAATTCGTGGAAACCCTAATCGCACCGAAAAGGGGGATTTCTGAGCAACCTCGAGTTGAGCCACAGGTGAGTCTCCCTTTTGAATTTGTAGTTGTGGGTGTTGATTGTGGTCTGCAAATCGCTTTTGTCGAAGATCTGGGTCGCCGATCGCCAATCGCCACTCGCCAAATCCGCCAGAATCGCAGGAGTCGCCAAATCGCCAAAAACCATGAATCTGAAATCTTCACTCGGCGACCCGATCTTCAATCTCAATCGCCACTCGCCAAATCCGCCAGAATCGCACGAGTATATAGTGTCGGCGGGAGGATCTTAAATCGCCTGGTGGAGGCTCAGTCGGCAGGTGGAGTTTTTGTCGCCGCCAGGGTGCTAACCCTAAAAACGAAAGGAGAAAGGGATTTCGGCAGGTGGAGATTTTGGTCGTCGTCACTCGTCAGTGCTAATATGTGGGATTAGGGTTTTTTTTATTAAAATTAATTTTTTAATTCATTCTTACGTGGCACTTTTGGCGTAGGTGGCGCTTACGTGTCTGCATAGTTGGCGTACAATCAGCTTGCCGTCAGCTATCCTCACGGAGTTATTAACGCCGTCAAAACATTTAACGGAGATGGATAGATTTGGCAAAGAAGAAGTTTAAAACATGGATATAAGTGGTATTTCCGGTTTTTTGGATATTATTGGCACAAACGTGATACTTTTGGATATACAAGTGTATTTAACCTTCTAATTATTAGATTCGAATGGTTAACATGATTTTATTCATAACACTACAGAAAAATCAACATTTAATCACGTTATTCACGAGAATTATTTCCATTAAGAAGTATATCAGTAGCTACGGAAAAATTCATGTAAATAATTACATCATTATCGCCATGAGATTACCTTTTCCCATGTTTGTTGAACCAATGTAAAAAATTCTCCCTCCAATTGTCCCTAAAATGTGAAAATTTCCCCTCCACTTATAAGAAGCCTGATTTTCCAAAAACTTAAACATAGAGCCTTTTCAATTTTAATCCAAATTCTCAAACATTGAAATACACAGGCGAAAGCTTTCTGTCCCCTTCTTCGAGCACATTATCAAACAAGGAAAAACACATTTTCAAACACAAAATTTGACATCACCAAAGAAGTATTTTTTCCTGTATTAATACGGGAATCCATCCTATGTCGACCAGGGATCGAAGCAGGTTAAGGCAGTGAGAGCAGATTACCATCGCTCTTTTTTGGGAGGGATGAAACCCGGGCAGTTTCAGAATTTACCGGAGTTGAGATATTTTGAAGCGGAGTTTGCTGAGTTCAGTGGAGACTTCAACAACCTTGTTCCAAATTTAAAATGGCTGCGCTTGCATTTCCACTACAATGATGGCCAGGAGCCGACCAACTTTGACATGAGTAATCTAGTGATTCTTGATCTCAAAGGATCCATTTTCTTAACAGATGATTGGGGAGGTTGGAGCCAAATAAAGGTCTGCTTAATGAATTGATTGTAAAATTGAACTTAATCACTCGCTGTTGCTGTTGTTGCCGTAATCTTTTTGTTGCTGTTGTTGATTCTTACATGTGCATATTACATATTGCAGATGGCAAAGAAGCTAAAAGTTCTGGATCTTTCCCATTGTACTTCCCTAATCAAACTTCCTGATTTTCCTAAATCTGGGAGTCTAGAAATGCTAAATCTTTCGGCCGAGATAAGAAGCTTTGCTTCATTTACAAGCATGGAGCTGGATATCGGGAATTTGTGGAACCTAAAAGTGCTAAATCTGAAGGAGTGTGCACTAAAAAGGGTAACTGGCGGAACCATTGGAATGTTGAAGTGCCTTGAAGAGCTTGATCTCACCAACCTACAGTGTAATAATTGGAAGCAACGGGTTGTTGATATTGGCGAATTGCCATCTCTTAAGGTCTTGAAAACGATTGGGGTAAAGCATATTCCCTCGTACTTCGAGTCGAATACCGATGATGATGAAGAAGAAGATGACGATGATGAAGTGGAGAGTGAAGGAGAAGGAATCGAAAAACTTCCCCCAAGTTTGAAGGTTCTACACACTTCATTCCGGGTTGCTAATCTCTCGGAGCTATTGGAGCTGGAGGAGTTAGTCGTCGAAAATTGTGATTTCGGACTCGAGATCCCTCCCGTAGGAGACGACACAAATGCTAATAGTACCGCTCATATGTGGTGGAAGGTATCCAAACTGAAGTCTTTGACGCTCCATAAAACAAAGTTCATCGTCGTCGCAGGAACTGCTCCATCTTTCGATCAGCTGCGGCTTCCGTCGTCTCTAACCACACTCAACATCTCCAACTGCCCCTACTTGGAGTGGATCCCAACCCTCGAGAACCTAAACAATTTGACCGAGTTGACCATCACCAAGTGCTCTAAGGTGCTGGAGGTCCGAGGCATCCAAGGCCTGACTTCGTTGCAATCTCTCGTGATCGATGACCGAGACGACTTAATTCACCTGTGTGGCCTTGCCGATCTAATGCGTCTCAAAACGTTCGAGATAAAAGAGTCCGCTCCCCTGTCAAGAGAAGCCCTACTCCTAAACGATGATAGTGATGATGTGTTTACACCTAAAATTATCTTGTACCACATTGATGAGTTACAAGGTAATTAATTAATTTATAAGACCAAACCAATTATAACAATTAATGTTATTAATTTGGGCCTTATAGATATTGATTTTAAGCCCAAACTACTAAGTCATAAATGAGCATGGACATAGTTCAATGAGGGACATGGTCCTCTCGTAAGAGGTCATGCCTTGCTACTTAAAAATAAAATAAGTACGGAGAGACACGTGCCGCTTCAATTCAACGAGGAGGGCCACATCCATCTAGGATCTAGAAGTACATGCCATCTCAACGAGAAGGGTCATGAACGCGAGACAAGACACCCCGACTATGGTTGAAAAATACTAAGTATGAGAAGGCCATGCCGCTTCATGAGAGAGGTCATGTGCGTGATTTGGAGGTCTCTCACCGCGAATCACACATTTCAAAGAAGAAGAAAAATATTAAGTTTGGAGAGCCACGTGCCGCTTCACGAAGAGGGCCATGTCCGTAGTCACATGACCATGCGACTAGAAGCGGATCACAAAGAAGATAAGAAAAATTTCTAAGTATGACAAGTCCATGGCCGTGATTGAAGAGGCCATGCCACCTCATGACCAAGACCCAATGACCCTAAATATTATGAGTCTGAGAAGTCCATAAAACGACCCGATACTTTTAAACAAACCAAAATACTCATGGCTCCGGAGCCGACCGAAATGGCTTAGAATAGGGTGAGTAACCATTGGTTACTAACCTATGAGTAACTAAATCTGGACCTTTAGATCTAAGTGGGTCCAGAAAATTCAAATATAAGGGTTGTCAATTAAATTCATTTTACTTTCCCTAGTTTTCTTAATCGGCTCTTATCTTCTTCGTTCTAACTCGGATTTCAATTTTTTTTGCACAGATGGAACGAGTTCGTTGTGCTCTACAAAAAATGAGATCAATTTTCAATATATTTTGATAAACTTTATTTTTACCTACTGCATACCATATGGTAACTTCTTCATTTTTAAGTCGTCTTTGAAAACGTTTGCTCCGAAGGAACGTGTTCATCATGATCTATTGGGTCTATAAATTTCTGGGTGAAAAAAATACTGGACAAAAAATTACCATACTTTTAGGGGTGGTGGGCAATGGGAAACGGGTATTTGGGTATACCCATACTCCTCCCATTTTTTAAGGGTTACGGGTACCCAAATACCCGTAACGAGATGAGACTTGGGATAAAAAAGTTCTACAACGGGTACCCACGGGTTGCCCGTTAATACCCGTTTGGGTCATACGGGTACCCGGAATACCCGTGTGTGTCGCTTCTCCTTTTTTTTAATCTACTTCGTCTGCAATAGTGTGTGCAGTACAGTTTTGGTTCATTAGTGAGAATGGAAAGAATTAATCTGTTAATTAAATGGTTGCTTTCCACTAATTAATAACCTGACAAGCATGATAATTAATGTTCTTTTCTCCGTTAAATTTTGTGTTTGGTTTTGTATGAAAAGGAAATTGTGTTTGTCTGTTTATGTAATGGAAGATTGGATTAGTGTATGCGGCAGAGAGGTAGAATAGAAGGAAGGCTTTTTTTTTGTTATTATGATTATTTTGGTGTATTCTACTTCTTAATCCACAGAACAAGTTTGGATGATTTTTTTTTAATTATGGTTACCCGCGGGTACCCGTTATCCGTCCCGTACGGGTAATGGGTACACGTTAACTCTTATGGGTTTGGGACATGGGATAGAGTTTACTCTCCAAATGGGATTGAGTACCCGTTTCAAACGGGACGGATACCCAATCCCGTCCCGTTGCCCACCCCTACATACTTTACCACTATGATATGTGGGTGACAACTTATAGTAAACAATGATAAAAGTCGTAAATGACAGTTAGTATACTCCTACTATCATGTATTTAACCTTCTTACCATATTGGTATGTTCATAGCATCATGGTACGCTTTCTTACCGTATGGTATTAAATAGGAGCATACCATATGATAATGACTAGTAAAAAATTATTCAATTTTTTTTGTACTAAAAATATATCAAAGTGGATATCATTTTAAAGAGCACATTTAATCTGATTTATCTGTGAAAAAAAAGTAAATCTCGTACGGGTAATGGGTACCCGTTAACCCATATGGTTTGGGACATGGGATGGAGTTTACTCTCCAAATGGGATTGAGTACCCGTTTCAAACGAGACGGGTACCCAATCCCGTCCCGTTGCCCACCCCTACATACTTTACTACTATGATATATGGGTGACAACTTGTAGTAAACAATGATAAAAGTCGTAAATGACAGTTAGCATACTCCTACTATCATGTATTTAACCTTCTTACCATATTGGTATGTTCATAGCATCATGGTACGCTTTCTTACCGTATGGTATTAAATAGGAGCATACCATATGATAATGACTAGTAAAAAATTATTCAATTTTTTTTTGTACTAAAAATATATCAAAGTAAATATCATTTTAAAGAGCACATTTAATCTGATTTATCTATGCAAAAAAAAAAAAAGTAAATCTCGTACGGGTAATGGGTACCCGTTAACCCATATGGTTTGGGACATGGGATGGCGTTTACTCTCCAAATGGGATTGAGTTCCCGTTTCAAACGAGACGGGTACCCAATCCCGTCCCGTTGCCCACCCCTACATACTTTACCACTATGATATGTGGGTGGCAACTTGTAGTAAACAATGATAAAAGTCGTAAATGACAGTTAGTATACTCCTACTATTATGTATTTAACCTTCTTACCATATTGGTATGTTCATAGCATCATGGTACGCTTTCTTACCATATGATATTAAATAGGAGCATACCATATGATAATGACTAGTAAAAAATTATTCAACTTTTTTTGTACTAAAAATATATCAAAGTGGATATCATTTTAAAGAGCACATTTAATCTGATTTATCTGTGCAAAAAAAAAAAAAAAGTAAATCTCGTACGGGTAATGGGTACCCGTTAACCCATATGGTTTGGGACATGGGATGGCGTTTACTCTCCAAATGGGATTGAGTTCCCGTTTCAAACGAGACGGGTACCCAATCCCGTCCCGTTGCCCACCCCTACATACTTTACTACTATGATATATGGGTGACAACTTGTAGTAAACAATGATAAAAGTCGTAAATGACAGTTAGTATACTCCTACTATCATGTATTTAACCTTCTTACCATATTGGTATGTTCATAGCATCATGGTACGCTTTCTTACCGTATGGTATTAAATAGGAGCATACCATATGATAATGACTAGTAAAAAATTATTCAATTTTTTTTTGTACTAAAAATATATCAAAGTAAATATCATTTTAAAGAGCACATTTAATCTGATTTATCTATGCAAAAAAAAAAAAAAAGTAAATCTCGTACGGGTAATGGGTACCCGTTAACCCATATGGTTTGGGACATGGGATGGCGTTTACTCTCCAAATGGGATTGAGTTCCCGTTTCAAACGAGACGGGTACCCAATCCCGTCCCGTTGCCCACCCCTACATACTTTACCACTATGATATGTGGGTGGCAACTTGTAGTAAACAATGATAAAAGTCGTAAATGACAGTTAGTATACTCCTACTATTATGTATTTAACCTTCTTACCATATTGGTATGTTCATAGCATCATGGTACGCTTTCTTACCATATGATATTAAATAGGAGCATACCATATGATAATGACTAGTAAAAAATTATTCAATTTTTTTTGTACTAAAAATATATCAAAGTGGATATCATTTTAAAGAGCACATTTAATCTGATTTATCTGTGCAAAAAAAAAATCTCGACTTAAAACGAGAGAGGGGAAAAGATAAAAGACTTTCCAGGAGAGAGATATACTGATGTCATACTGGTGTAGACGGGTTACTCATGGTTACTGACCTGATCCGTTCCCGACCAAAATAGAGTCCAAAAATATCAATAAAATCAATAAATCCAAGTATTTTCCACAAGAAATTCAAATGAAATGCCCTAAACAGTTGGGTGACCCAAATCCATAGTAAACAAAACCACCCAAACTCAACACCTCGAATCTCGAATTTATATACTCATAATCATGACAAAAAATAATGAAAATAATTATGTATCACTAAGTTATTTAGGGGTTTCGAAACCCACTACCGTCGATTGCCTATATTTTATGGGGTTGCCCTTCATTTTGTTTTTTAATCATCTACTTAAAATGAGTATTACACTATTACTTATATTTTAATGGTCCATTTACGTCAATCTTTCTCGACGAACCTTATCGCGCAGAAATGTCGATCTTTCGTGACGGATAGGTTCCTTAGCAACGAAACATCAGAATTGGTTGCTTGGTGACGCGGTATATGCGGCGGAACTGAAATGAATTCAGCGACGAAGAAAGTCATCTGGCAATGAAAAATTGGGGCTTTTTAGCGACGAATTCCTTCCGTAGCAATTGCTTTGTTAGTGTACCCAGCTTGAAAATAAACACAAATCATTTTAGGTTATCCCAGTAATATATCATATACAACACATATTTTATATGATCTTATAATACATCCTTTAAAACCTCAAATTTCAAGCCGATCACACCAAACAATTTTCCAGAAGTGAGCAAACGTACAATGGATAACATACATGCATGCCAATATGCATGCAGGCGAGTACGTACTTACGTAAATTTAAGTACTACTGCACCGAGCAATACCCCCACGACCATGGTTCCGAGTCTGGGTATCGCTCATCCGGCCACTTGATCCTTGCGTCCGGGAGATTAGCCCTAAGAGCCGAGAGATCCTGCGGAGCCAAGTTGATACATCCTCGAATGTCCAACTCCTTCAACCGCCTCAAGCCCGTCGTCGTCCGCGATATAATCAACCTCTCCAACGATGTGCAACCGGCGAGCATCAATCGCTCCAACGACTTCAAGTCCGCAATGCCTTGGATCTCACGCAAGCTCGGCATGTCGTGGATGGCCAAGTTGGTCAACTTTTGTAGCCTCGAAAGTGAAGGAAGAATCTCTATGGACGGTGGCAAGCTGAACAGCCTCAGCTTTTCCAGCTCTTCCAGACATGCAATCCCATCCACCAGTGATTCCACAGCCACCTTGTTATGATTCTTTTCATCATCATTATTAGTGCTGCTAGTTATCGCCCCAAATTCCACTATCTTTAGCTTGGGGAAGTGGGAGAGATGGGGCAGCCAGCCACCATGGCGTAGCAATGATTCACACCCGTGGATGTGCAAATGTTGTAACGAGTCGATGGTTGTAGGTGGTGGATTGTTGTTGTTGTTGTTGTGGCCGCCGCCACCATCGTCGTCGTGGAATGCGGCCGCGAGGCGAGGGCAATTTGTTACCTCCAACGTTTGTAACTTGTTCAGACACACGAGCTTCACAAGGCCAAAGAGGCGCAGTAAGCCGCGGTTGCCATCGACGACTAGGGTTCGTAACAACTTTAGGTCTTGTAGGCCTCGAATCTCCCGCAGCTTGTTGCAATTTCTGACCACCAATTCGGTCAGATTTTCGAGCTTCTCCAAACTCGGGAGCCACTCCAACACTACAAGCGATTGGGCCAAGCCCAGCGGTTCTCTACCAAGGGTTGGAGTAACCGCTGCCGCGATTTATATCTTTCACTTTTGGCAGCGAATGGCCCAGCGAATGTTATAACCGCTGATAGGCCCAAACATGTAAATGTGCAGCGATTGATCCAGTGGAACAAACAACCACCCAATTTGTTTGTAAAAAAAAAAAAGAACAAACCAATTTTGAATTTTTACCGAAACTCATTTTTTCAACAAAATTGTTTTTATCGCATTCCTTATCATCGAGAAAAAGCTCTGCACCGGAAAAAACAATCGAGAAAGAGCTCTCAGCTCATCTCGCCATCATCTCTGATCTCCGATCCGTCGATTCTCCTCCTCCTCTGAAGCTGTTTTCTCCTCTCGTTGGCTCTCCGATCCTCCTCCTCCTCCTCCCTATCGAGAAAGAGCTCTCGGCTCATCTCGCCGTAAGCTTATCTCCGATTTTCAATTCGGTGAATCCGCTCCTCCTCCGAAGCCGTTTTCTGCGAACAGATTGTTCCGAAGCCGTTTTCTCCTCTTGCCAGCTCTCCGATCATCGATTGCTACTGCATTCCAACTATTTCTTCTGGTACTCTCTAAACCTAATATGTGCTTGTGGATTCCTTCTGATCTCGAGCATAATATAGTTCTTAAATATGATTTGTGCTTTTTGATTGCTCTGAACGTAGTAACCGAATCAGCTGAGTCAAGTGAATCTGCGACGAGACTTGATCAATTTTCTTCACAAATCTTTGCCATCTGGGATTTCGTCAACCTGTGTGAGTCCATCCCTCTTCCTCTTTCGTTAATTCTCTGCTCCCACTAGTGATAGATAAGTTCAACCGCTTGTGTGCACGAATGCCTCTGATGTTCTTCCGTAGATCTAGGTGTAAGATGTTAAAGCAATCCGAAGCTTTGATACAGATAGATATATATTATACACACAGTAGGAGTTGGTATAGTTGGTTTTGTGGGGTGTATATTTCCAGCTAGCAAGGAGGAGAAGATAAAGGGTACTTGTTCTTGTGTAAGCTTCTTACATGGCTTGTAAACTCACATTTATGGGATACTTCTCTGTACATGAATGCTTGTATAATAGGTTATCCATGTACGTAGTTTATATAGAGGAAAGGAATGGCAGGTTATAATATGTGTTATGTCATTGATGATGTTCATTATGGGTTAAGGACATGGAATTAGTAGTTGGTTTTGTTGATTCTGTAATAGTTAGGATTTGTTGCTTATATATGAAAATGAAGCTATCTGTTGCAGCTTTTATCTGGCCAGCCAAACTTATGAGTTACGACCATGTTCTAATTGTCGTCCAACATTACTTGTAGTTTTTATATAGTGCCAAAGGAAGAATGTCCAAAGCACAACTTATTTGCTTGAGGGGCTTCCTGTTACTTTAAAGTTTTGGACACATTCTTTGTTAATCAAGTGCCACGTTAATTACCAGGTACACTACTAATTTCAGTTTTTTTTAATACATTTTGTCCAAGTGATGTTATGTGTTCTATCTTTGTTATCTAGTATATACTCCGCTCTCCTGTTTGCTGTCCCTTCCCCCGACAAACCATTACAGTATACTAATTTAATTCTAGCTTCCATCATGTTCCTTTGAATAAATTAACAAAGTAAAAAAAAAGAACACCATTCTTATGATATTCATTCTGTTGGTTTTCCATTTTAGGTTATACTGATTTTCAGTTTTTGTACCATCCAATGGACAAGAGTTGGATGAACAAGTCTAGAGTTAGTCGTGAATACAAGGAAGGGGTTGAATACTTTCTTGATTTTGCATTCCAAAATGCATCTTCAGAAGGAAAAATCTTGTGTCCGTGCATCCGTTGTGCAAACGTTAATTTTCAAACGCGTGAGAATGCTCGAGTTCACCTCATTTGCGATGGATTTTTACGAGGATATTCCTATTGGATTTTTCATGGAGAGACATATAAAACTAACATCCCTTCCTTTTCTACTTCACAACCTTGTCCGTCATCATCGTTTATGACGAATAATGGACAAGATTCTGCCCCTACTCAATCGAGTCCGCGAATTGGGGCAGACTTGATTGGACTAATTAGAGATGCCTTCATTGCCGAAGGCCAAGTAAACAATGATCATTTTACCCATGGAGATTCTACCCATGAAGATGGTGAGAATCTGGGAGAGAACCTAGAAATGGATGATTTAGATGAAGTTTTTGAGGAGGATACCCCAGAAGTAGCACAATTGATTCAAGATGCAGAACAAGAACTCTATCCTGGGTGCAAATCTTTCTCAAAACTATCTTTCTTATTACATTTATATCATCTGAAAGTTCTCAATGGATGGACAGCAAAGTCTTTTACCAAATTGCTTGAGCTTTTACTAGATGCCTTCCCGGAAGGAGTTTCTTTACCCAAGTCGCATGGTGCAGCTAAGAGGATAGTTCAAGGGTTAGGTTTAGACTATGAAAACATAGAAGCATGAGCTTTGCGACATGCTAGCAACATGAAGACTCCACATACATGTGGAAGGATGAGCTTTGCGAGGTGGAGGGCTATAAGAGTATGTCTTTTACCTAACCTAATACGAGTTATTTGACTTTCTTGACAAACTTAATTGTGACATTTACAAATTGTGGTATTTTTAATCCTATGTTTATTAGGCTCAGCAAACTGGAAAAGAACCTGATAGGCTGGAAACTTTTGAGGATACTCATACAAGAAAGAATGGGACCTATGTGAATGAGTATACAGCAACCCTAATTGTAAGAGTTTCTTACTTTTTTACTTGATCCTCCTCCTCTGATCCTCCTCCTTTAAATTTTACTTGAACATACTTCGTTTTCAGAATCCTTTTGCCTTACTGCTACTGATCTCTATTTTACTTTCAGGCGCTATTTTAGTTTCATTATGAACTATATTTGGCTTGTGAAGATATAACATTTGTTTTTTGTTTTTCGGGTAGGACAGATTGTTCTAGTACTGTGCTTATGGTTTATGCTTGTGTGATTGATAAAGAAACTGCCAGCTGGTTTTTCTAGAGAGAAATTTAATATTTAGCTCATTTGAAATCAAGTTTCTAGAGTGGAAAAGATGTTACTCCTCTAACCAGAGATGTAGTAGGTTTAGCTCATCTATTTTCGCACTCGGTTATAGGGTTCTGCTGGTTCTAAATGCTACTGCATTATTTTGGAACTTCAACTTCATCTGTCTTCCTCTTCTTTTCTATACTAATTATTTATTTGGTTCAAGTGATATAACTTTGCTGAATTTTGTGTAGGAAAAGGCGCATACTCTTCGACAGGAAGGGTCTGCTGATAATGAACAAATCTTTCAGAAGCTACTAGGTCCAGAGCATCCTGGGAGGGTTCGTTGTGCTGGCTTGGGACCAACCCCATCAACCTATTTTGGGCCTTCTTCTTCCTCAGCTTCAACAAGTTCTACCACGACATTGTGCTCTAATGAGGTAGTCGCTCTAGGTATTGAAGTGGTTGAACTGAGAAGTGAAGTGGTGGAACTGAGAAGTGAAGTGGTGGAACTGAAAAGTGAGGTGGTAGAACTGAAAACTGAAGTGGGTCGGTTGGGAAGTGGGATGGAACAGCTGCAAATGGAAGTAGACACATTGAAGGCATTTATCTTGCAACGTCTTTGTAGGGAGAAGGGGCCAATTGAGGGTTCATTCCGTGCACCATCTTCATCAAGCCAGAGTGCTACACGGGGCTGACCAAAGTAAGTAATATGTAACTACATCTCTGTAAGTTCGATTGGTTCAAGTCATGTTGATTTTTTGCCTCATCAAGGTCTCTTCTCACACTCTGCCACCCTCATAAATACTGATATCTAGGAACATCATCAACTTAATTGTTTTAACTCTGTTTTTAAAATTCTACTTTATTTCCTTCCATTTATAACAGGGTTTGTCAGGCTAGCTTTGAGATTGATCTGTGGAAGGAGACAACAGCTCTAGCATATTGGATGCAAATTGCACTCTGGAAATTTATCTTTGCTGGAACTTTATCATAGTTCAATATTATTCCTTTGATTGAGCTACTAGTTGTAATCTGGAAGTAATATGCACTATGGAAATTAGCATTTTGTGGCATGGGATATGAGTAATGTACATGTTGAAGTACAGATAGATATGTCTTGAAAATTTGAATTGTTGCGGCAGATTGCAGGGTTATTGACATTTATCAGAAGGTTATAGTAATGGATATTTTAGTGACAATGCTAAAATTGGTTGCTAAAAATGGTTGCTAAAAATGGTTGCTAAAAGTCGTCACTAGAGGCTTGTAGGTGGTGCTCTAAAAAGTATTACTAAAGTGGCCTATAGCAGAGGTTTCAGTACCGTCGCAAAAGCATCAGCAACCGCTTCAAAATTTCAAATTTGAGAGGGGGAAAAATACCAATAGCGACGGTAAAAACCGTCGCAAAAACCGCTGCAAAAACATTCACCAACGGTTGGGCTAACCCTTGCCGTAAACTAGCGGCGGTTAATGTTGCGGCGGTTTTGCTGCGGTTACTAAAACCGCTGACGGGGTAGTTAGCAACGGTTTTTTCTAGGGATGGCAATAATATCCGTAACCGTGGATATCCGCCCGAATCCGACCTAATCGGGTAGGGTAAAACCCGAATCCGAAGGCCTTTTAGTGGGTACGGGTAAAACCCGAACCCGAATATTGCGGGTAATGGGTGGGTATGGTTTTCTCACTATCCAACCCGAACCCGCCCGATTATACACATGCATATGTATTTTGTCTAGAAATAATCAATATTTTTATCTTACATATTTATATTTAGCATATACATATAATAGTTTTATAAAATTGTGTTGTTTTAATTAATTTTCTTCATTCTAGCGAATTATTGTCGTACTTTTTGTCTTAGGTAACGTTAGAATACGTGTCAATATTAACATATTGGTTGGAGTTATAAAGAGAAACTATTACCCATGGATAACCGTGGATACCCGAAACCCGAACGGGTATGGGCATGGTTTAAATTTTCTACCCGTTTCTTATATGGGTACGGGTATGGGTAAAACCCGAACTACTTTGGGTAGGGTAGCGGATATGCAATATCCGTCCCCGACCCGACCCATTGCCATCCCTAGTTTTTTCCGTCGCTAAAACTGAAAAAAACCCCTGCTGTTTGTATTTTGTTTTGTAGTGCAACTCCGGGCACTCCGAAACGTGGAGCTTCGCTAGAGACGAGGGAAGCAGAGCCGACGGAGCTGGTGGGGAAGACAAAGGGGAAAGATGAGGAGGAGGAGGAGGAGTATTGCTAGTTGTTGTTGTTGTTGTTGCTGCTGCTGCTGCGACGATCTTTGTTTTTTTTAGCGTTAGGGATGTCAGTTTCGATACTTTCGACCACGTACTACTATTAGGGTGAGGGATCTCGAGCCCGAAATCACAGTCTTCAACTTCCAGTTCCTCCAACTCCAACAGCTCCACTAGATTGACAAACCAAAACGAAGTGTGTAACACATTTAAAGACGTGGGAAGCTTTATTCCCAATCCTGTTATCCCTGCTTCCTCCTCCTTCAACTCTTCTTCTTCTTCCAACATACTTTCATCAAGTCTTAGCTCTCCGAAGATAAATTCCTCGGACTTACTCGGTTTGTCGGGCACGCCGGCTCCAATTGTTTTCAAGATCTTAAGGGATGATAATTCCTTGATATCAACAATCACTTCCTTTAGATTCCCACACTTGAAGTTAGTGAGATTGAGTTCTCGAAGCATCTCCAGCATTCCAATAGTTCCACCTCTTATTGCTTTTAGCTGGATTCCTTGCAGATTCAACACTTTTAAGTTCCACAAACGCGTGATATCCACCTCTCCGCAAGGATAACCATCTAACTTGTCGGTATGACACCCAGAAAGATTCAACATCTCTAGACTTCCAGATTCGGGAAACTCAAGAAACTTGACGTCGTCGTCTAGATAAATTCCGGAAAGATCCAGAACTTTCAGCTTCTCTGCCTCCTGCAGGAACATATATATATATATATATGCATTATTATCACAAATAAAACAAAACAAAAAAGGTCAAAGACATTGTACGTACGTGCTAGAAAGAAACCTATGATTGGTATGTGAAATAAAATGTGTAGGTGTATCTTTAAGATAATATATGTATATGACAGCATCAAGTGCATATATATACTGCAAAGCTAACCTTGATCATGCTCCAACCTCCCCAATTACGGTCCAAGTTTGAAGACCCACTAAGATCGAGAATCACCAACTTTCTCAAATGAAAATTAGTCGGATGATGATCATCCCTCTGTGCGCTTTAGAGCGAAGCCATCTTAAATTTGGAAAAATATTACCGAAGTCGCCGTTGAACCTTGCACCTAAGGCTTCAAGATACCTTAGCTCGGGTAATTTCAAAAAATGCTGGCGCTTAAGTGGTTTGAGACCCAGATCTGGAATCCATGTAAAATTTGCACAAAGCGCTTTCACTTGCTTTGATCCCTGATGACAAGAGAATTAGCATGCATGTAATGGATCGAAGAATAAACCCAAAACGAGAAAAGAAAAACGTACAATTAATGAACAAATATATTACCAGACCAACTTCATATATATTTTGCGCATTTCCCCAGCAACAACGAAAATTTGATACCATCTATTATATTGGATCCCTTCCCAAATGAGGAATATAATTATGGCAAAACTCTAAGAAAGTGAGAGATTTTGACAAAATCCTGCACCACAATATTCTCTCTTTCAAATGACCCCTTTATTGTTTTCTATGGCATACTTTCTCTAGAACACAACTTTGGATATATAGTTAACAAGTCTAGTGATATAGTTATGTATAGGCTAAATTACAGTATGGTCACTCAATTTTTCAAACTTTTTCATGTTTACCACCGAAACTATTTTCTTTTCTTATTGCTCGTTCATTTTCTATTTCATTTGATTATTGGTCACTGGTGATCCAATTCCGTTAACTTAATCTTACGATGCGGTCAACGATAAGTTTTGACAGTTAAGTGTTGATGTGTCAATAAAATAAAAATAAAATAAAATTTTTTTTTCTTCAAAATTTGTTCACCATCATCAAAACCTTCTCACCCTTCTATCACTTGTTCCATAAACTAAAACAACAACAAGAAGAAAAATGCACCCGTGTAGAATTGGCTATGAGATGAGTTTTTTTTGCAGCGGCAACCACGGCACGGGGCACGTGGAAGGAATTGTTGGAGACTGGTGCTCTGACATTGGACCATATATATAGATTGGGACTAGGGGTGGCAATTTTGTCCATACCCATGGGTATTTTACTATCCAATCCAATTGGGTTGGTATGAAATCCAAATATATGAATATGGGTAAAGTTTGATGAGTTTGTACCCATACCCATTTACTTTGGGTTGGGTTGGGTTTATAACAAATGGATTTGGGTTTGTACTCATGCCCAAATACAAATTACATTTTGGTACCCAAACTTAATAGATATGCATATTTAGTACCTAAATTTAAATTTTTTTTTTGCATATAAGTCCTCAAAATATCGATGGAAAATTACGTTTTACAAATAGGTCCAATTTTTGCATGTGTAGTTAAAACACCCTAAAGTAAATGGATATCCATATCCAACCCATACCCATTTAGATAATATCCATATCTAACCCAAACTCATATACAAACCCCAAACCCATACACACATCACCCAAACCCTACCCATAATAAATGGGTCTACTTGAGTTTGGGCAAAATTACCCATGGGTGGGTAAATTGCCATCCCTAACTGGGACAGCTTCATTAATCTCATCTTTCTCTTCTTCACATTTCTCTCACCCCAAGCAAATATCTCTCTCTCCTTTCTGGTGCAGTCCGACCACACCAATGTGACAATACCCAACCCTAACTCCAACGTCTTCCCCGGACCGCATCCTCGTCAACCCCAGTGGGCTCTAGTCGTCATCAAGAATATGCACAAGCTTCGATCACTCTCCATCACGAATGCTAATCTCACAGGCTTGATTCCGAAGCATTTGGTCGAGAATCTCACCCATGTGGATCCTTCGGGAACAACATTAAAGGAAGGATACCCAGTTCAGTTGCAATCCTCGAGAATCTAGAAAGCCTTAATCTTTAATTTCCTCCAACGCGCTCGCCGGATGGGATTAATTAAAGCGGTTAGTTAATCTGGTCGTGGACTAGACATAAGGTGGTTTTATTGATGTTTGTTTTTAGTTTTTGGAGCGAGGAGGAAATGGCTGGAAGAGAGGGATGAGTTAGCATGATTACTGTTTTTTAGTAGCTATCGTGACTATCAAACTCTATTTTATTAATTTTTTTTATTTGTCTTCTTTTTAAAATTGACGCTCAAAATTACCCTAAGAATATTTGTAAAAATAAAAATATCTCATATATATGATTATCACTCTTTAAAACCTAACATCTCCCCACTCCTCTTTTGCCTCCGCCTCTCTCCCTCCCTCTTTCTCTCCGGCGACAAGCTCCCATAGCCCTCCCTCCCTCTCTCACCGGCGAGCCACCTCCCCTCCCCTCCCCTCCCTCCCTGCCGCCCGCCCTCCCTCCTCCCCACCGCCCGCCTTCCTCTCTCTCCCCCCCCCCCCCCCCCCCCCCCAACTAGCCCCTCCCTCCCCACCGCCGGCCTCTCCTCCCCCCCCCCCCCCCCTCTCTCTCTCTTTCTCTCTTGTCAACGATTTGTCGCTGGTGCGACGGTGAGGAGGAGTTGGTAACCTTCGGTCAGATTCTAGATATGATTTTTTCCGTATTGGTATGTATTTTTTCATATTGGTATTAATTTTTTCATAGTTATAATATTGATATTGATTATCATGTAATAGTATTGTTTTTTTAATTCTTGTTATCTCATTGGTATTGGTTAAATCTGCAATAGTATTGGTTAATAAGTGGTCGTATATGTTGTGGTAGTGGTAGTGCTATTGTTTCGTGTAGGTTGCATGGTAGTGTTTTATGTTTTGGTATTGATTTTTTGTTTTATCTCTATTATGGTATTGATGTTTTTTAAGTGGTATTGTTAGTGGATTGGTATTGATTTCTTGTTTATAACTTTGCAGTCATATTAGTTCGGCTGAACGTAATCAATGAAACGATTGAGAAAAAAAGGGAGAGAGAGATCTGACTGGAGATTAGGAAGTGAGAGAAAGAGAGAGAACATTTTAAATAATATATTTTTTAACTTTCTAAAATGTAATTTATTAAATAAGATAAATAATAAATATGTATTTCCATACTCAATTTTCCTTTAGTAGTCATGGTGGCACTACTCTATAGTAATCACCATAACTGCTCTCCTAAAAGAGACGGTGGTAAACAACTAAAAATAATTATTTATTTAATTGACACATTAATCACTTAAGTTAACAGTAAAAAATATGGTTGACTACCACGTATGACTAAGTTAACAGAATTGGATGTCAAGTGACCAACAATAAAATGAATTATAAAATGAGTAACTAATAGAAAGAAAAATAATTTCGATGAAAAATAAGAAAGAATTTGATAAATTGAGTGATCAAACATGTAATCTACTTGTTATGTATATAACATTTTTTTGCTCTCATCCACAAGTTAGAAAATACATACCCGTTTGTTCTGTAATAGGTCAAGAGCCTCTTCTGGATCCCATATCCTACTCCTCTTCCATGGTTGTTCAATATTTTCTTCACGAACAATTTCTCTCCCCATATCTCTCATTTGATCATGCATTTGAAACTTATTATCATATCCAATTTTGATCATGGACCTCTGAATCAGACTATTAATCCTACTCAATAAGGATAAGTACTTAAGATCACTCCACATGTAAATAGCTATCTCTTTTTCCATGCCAATGCAGAAGCAAGCAATATCCAGGAAAATTTGTTGGGTCTCGGCTTCCAATACATCATAGCTTATCTTTAACCTTTCTGCGACCCCTTTCAGAGAAACCTTTCGTAACTGTACCAACTTTTCCTCCCATATTGGTTTTTCTTCTCCATATAAAAGTGAGCCCACAACCTCGAGAAATAATGGAAGTCCTCCCGCAATTGATATAATATCTTGTGATAGAGTTTCGTAGCCTGGTGGCGGACGAGTCTTTTTGAAGGCATGCTTGCAGAAGAGTTCAAGCGAGATCCGTGGACTCATTTGACCAACTTCATAGAGTTTGCATTGATTTTCACCGACAGTGCGCAAGACTTTCTCGTTTCTGGAAGTAATGATGAATCTAGTTCCAGAAGCAAATTGTCCGGGGTTTCCTAAAACATCTTCGAATTTAAACTTCTCATCAACATCATCAAGAATGATAAGAACTTTGAACATTGATACTCTGTCTTTTATCAGGTTTTTCCCTTCAACATCATTATCAATGGATCCAAGAGAATCCTTTCTCATGATGTTAGATATGAGCTTATGCTGCAAATCTATCGTACCGTTCTTTTGCTCCTGCATTTCTCGTATGTTTTCCAAGAAACTACATCGATCGAACGAAGTAGAGATCTGATTGTAAACGGCTCTTGCAATAGTGGTTTTTCCTATACCACCAAGGCCGTGAAGGCCAACCATTGTTACTCCTTCAGAGTCTAAACTCAACTCATCTGTTACTGCTCTTATATGGTCATCGATACCAACCAGCCGGTCTCTGTCCAAAAACTTATCATTTTGCCTTATATGCAACCATATTTCATTGCAAACACGATCTGCAATTTCTCCTGGCCTGTAACATAAAAAAATATTTGCTCTGTGATTTTAAGAATGAATAAAGCACCAAATTATGAATGAATGAAGCATAGAATAATCGATTTCGTAACTAGCGCTAATTAAAGTGGAATGACGTACTTGTCTTTGCTCCCAACGGTCCATCCTTTTATAGTTCCAACCTCGTTCAAAGCATCCCTCCAATCTTGTACGGTTTTCGAGTCGAACTTCTTCTCGTGTTGCTGAAATGCGCTTTGATACGGTCCCGTTTGGTGTCGCACATCACCGGGATCAACCATATAAAAAATGGGAAGTATGATATGTCTTTTGTCTTGCTTTCGACATTCTACGAACTTGACGAGTTCCCTGAGACACCATTTGCTATAAGCATAATTCTCCGATAGTATTGCGACGTGAATTTTGGACTGTCTTATAGCAGTAGCTAGGCTTGGCCATATTTCGTCTCCCTTCTCGAGTTTCTCGTCGTCCATGAACGTACGTATGCTTAAACGTCGAAGCAAAATGAAGAGGGTATTGGTGAACACCTGACGAGTGTCCGGACCTCTGAAACTCAAAAACACCTCGTGCTCCCCCGTGGGAAGGGACGACGCTGAACGAGGATTTTCGACCGTCGAAGCAGAGGTGCCATCATTTGATTGTTGGGGGAGCTTATTGTTTGGGGCTGAATTTTGATGATCTTTAGCATCTGAAACGGCACGAGGAACAGAAGCAAAGGGATTGATGGCATCGGATTGCTGAGCGGCATTGAAAATATTCCTTCCAAACAACAGCTTGTATAGGAGGACAATCGGTTGAAGCAGCAATACAATCACTGTCACAGCTCCTTTCGTGAAATTGATTTCTGCATTTCAATATTAGGATTGGCAATCAATAGCTCGTTAGAATGGACATTATTAATTAGAGAAAGCAAAAGTGCGGCTACAGAAAGTTACTAGAGCACTTCTACTATACTATATAGTATCGGTATTTTAATGTACAACTTAAAGTTGTACCATAACATTAAATGTATAAGTTTAGGTTGTACCGTGAAGGAATTTGTATCATTATGTTAAGATACAATTTTACAACTTGAAGTTGTACCATCAAATAAAAGTACAAGTTCAAGTTGTACCATAAAAGAATTTGTACAAAATGTATAGGTACAATCTGAAGTTGTACCATAACGTTAAATGTACAATTTCATATTGTACCATAAAGGAAAAAAATTATAGCACCAATACTATATAGTAATAGCATTGTAAAATGCCTCAAGTTTACTAATACTAATAGAAACAGAATTTTGTAATTTTGGCGTTGCAGCTGGCTCAAGATAGGGTGCATAATCATTGGTTATGCACCCATCAATAACCAAATCTGAACCCTTAATTTAGAAAACCAGATCTAAGGATTGAGAATTAGAGGTCATTTTTATTTTTACTAGCTTTCTTAATTGACTCATATCTTTTTCGTTTTAACTCGGATTTTAATTTTTTTTGCATAGATGGAACGAGTTCATCGTGCTCTACAAAATGAGATCAATTTTCAATATTTTTTGAGGAAAAAAAAATACTGGCTTCTCGGTACCAACTGCATACCATATGGTATCTTCTTCGTTTTTAATTCGTTTTTGAAAACGTTTGCACAGCAGGGACGTGTTCATCATGATCTATTGGATCTACAAATTTCTAGGTGAACAAATTACAAGACAAAAAAAATACCACACAATACCATACAATACCACCCTGGTATGGGGTGGTATCTTATGGCATCTTATGGTATACAATGTTAAAAGTCGTAAATGACAATTAATATACTTCTATTATCATGTATTCAACCATCCTACAGTTTTAGTTTGTGTCATACCACCATGGTACGCTTTTCAAACCATATGTATGCTCTTATTTCAATACCAGTCAATACCATATGGTATAGACTGGTATAAAATGGCTCAATTGTTTTTGTTCGAAAAATATATCAAAGTGGATATCATTTTGAAGAGCACAATTAATCTGATCTAACTGTGCAAAAAAAATTAAATTTCGACTTAAAATGAGTGAGAAATCGTCCGTCAAAAATTAAGAAGGGGAAAATTAAAGGCTTTCCAGGAGAGAGAGGATGCTGATGTCATGCTGATGTGGGCGGGTTACTCGTAGTTACTCACCATAAGGTTACTGACCTGATCCATTCCCGTTGCAGCTGCCATATTTAATTGAGAGTTTAGGGGAGCAGATTTGGTGAGTAACCTTGTGGTGAGTAACCCCATGCATAACCCAATAAGAATCCGCCACATCAGCGCTTCCTTCTCTCTCCTGGAAAAATCATTAATTTTCTTTCTCTTAATCTTTAATGGACGATTTCTCACTCGTTTTGACTCGGAATTTAATTTTTTTTGCACAGTTAGATCAGATTAATTGTGCTCTTCAAAATGATATCCACTTTGATATTTTTTGGAACAAAAAAAAAATTTGTCAGTTATTACCAGTCTATACCATAGGGTATTGACTGGTATTAAATAACAGCATACCATATGGTATGAAAAATACCAGTCAATACCATATGTTGTTATTTAATACCAATCAATACCATATGGTATTAAATAACAACATACCATATGGTATGAAAAATACCACCTCATACTAGGGTGGTATAGTATGGTATGGAGTTGGTAACGAGAGGTTTGGAATTTTTTCCCCCAGAAAATTTTGAAATCCAATTGATCATGATTAAATCGTTTCTTTTGTGCAAAATTTTTCGAAAATGACTAAACAACGAAGGAGATACCATATGGTATGGAGTTGGTAACGAGAGTGATGAAAAAAAATTTCTCAAAAAATATTGAAAATGGATATCATTTTGTAGAGCACAACGAACTCGTTCCATCTGTGCAAAAAAAATTGAAATCCGAGTTAGAATGAAGAAGATATGATTCAATTAAGAAAACTAAAGAAAATAAATTCTTTTAATTCTCCACCCTTAAATCTGCAGTCACTTAAAAGAAGGGTCCAGATTTGATTACTCATTGTTACTCACCCTAATATTACTCACCCTATCTTGAGCCAGAGTTTAGACCAAAATCGTTAAACAACCTAACCGGTCTGTTAGTCCTTCATCATCGAATATTTACATTTTTTGTTTTCGAACATTTTTTAGCCCTTCTGATGAGATCGGATGTGCTAGCCATTTCATCCTCTCGTTGCTTTCCGTCAACCACCCTCCACCTCTGACTCCACTTATGTTTCGATGTAAAAATACAAGTAGATTAATTGTAAAAAAAATTATTTCACCGTTATAATTTGTTTATTACTTGTCATCATTTATTTCTAGTCTTTTTGGTCTACTTCATGAAAGTTATGATGGTGTTGTTGCACATGTTTTTAGTATACTTCACGGAACTTATGGACATCTTTATAAGGTTTCTGGTCTGATTCAAGAAACTTGTGGTATATTTTATGAGGCCTCTTGTCTGCTTTAAGAAACTCGTGGTAAGTTTTATGAGGCTTCTGGTTCACTTAAGGGAACTTGTGGTATACTTTATAAGGCTTCTAGTCTGCTTCAAGAAACTTGTGGTAGGTTTTATGAAGTTTCTAATTTATTTAAGGGAACTTGTGATATGGTTTATGAGACTTCTGGTATACTATAGAAAATTTGTGGTAAACTCAATGAGGTTTTTGGTATGTTTAAAGTAAATTGTGGTCACCTTACCAGTATGTTTCACGAGACTTGTGGTAGGATTTATAAGATTTATCGTGTGCTTTAAGAACTTGTGGTCAGTTTTGAGTTTTCAGGTATGCTTTATGAATTTATGTAGTGTGAAGAGGTTCTGATATGCTTTATAACCTTCTTGATCTACTTTATGTTATTGTGGTATGGTTTGTTGTGTTTCTGGTATGTGTTTTTTTGTCTGCTTATGATACTTGTGGTCGCTGTCGGCTAAGAACGTGACACGAAATAAATGGACAACGCCACACGCGTGTTCCCCCTTCAATTTTAAAACGACACCGTGCCCCTCCCTTTTAAAATCACGCATAATTGTGGTCAACCCCTTAAATAGAAAAAGTTATCAAAATAAAATGTTCTTATTGATTAGAGTTGATCATACTGGCAAATTGAAAGCTAACACCCTACCTAACCCGTCTCCCAAACCTCTTCTCAAAACTAAAATAATTTGTCCCTACTAAAATGTTCTGTTACAATATATTATTTTGATTATGAATTAACGAAATTTTTTTGTATGGTACATATCCTAAATTTGAGCGACAAATTTTACACCCTGTAAACCGGCTCTTTGTATTAAAAAAATGGGCATTTGGTAAGTTAGATGTATTTTGACAAACTGAATCATTGACTATTATTCTTTATGAATTTGATCTTAGGGTTTAAGGATGAATATGAGAACGAATATGCATTTATAATCCCAAAAATATGGATAGGATCAAATGCATAAATATTGAGTAGTCGTCCCTTGATTTTGAGTGTAGTTAGATTTAAAAGTAGCAATTAAATAATTTATTTAATTTCCTATTTTTAATCAATCTATTTATTATTAATCAGATTTCAAAAATGAAAACATGGCTTCATAATGATTTACAAAATTATGTCCATTTTTAGATCAGTTGTACTACTCTCAACCACTATCACCCTCATTCATCTAACAAGTATATCAATTAAAATTGAACAGATGAAGTGTATTATACTAAACGACAATACTCCGAGGAACCTTTTTTTTATCAAATGTACCACCATCTTACCACTATGCTCCCACAGGCCACAACCATGTATATATCCATCCTAGCACCATTGTATAATCTTACATATTCTGGTAGAAAAGGTTTCTATTTGTTTTGTATTTTTGTTTCAAATTATATCACAGTGAGTTTCATTATGTACAACAAATTAATTTGACTGAAATTTTTGAAATGCGAGTTAAGACGAATTGAATATAGTCCATTAAATGTTAATGGAAAAATAGTTATGCCAAATTGAGTAACCATGCACTACTGACCAGATTTATTTTGAAAGCATAGCCCAAGTTTTTTATAGCATATATACCACAAATTCTATGAAGCATATATATAAAAAAACGTCATAAAGCATATCACAAATTTCCTAAAACCTGCTAAAAAGCTCATAAAGCACACGACAAGTCTATTAAAACACCCCACATGTTTTATTAAAATAGACCACAAGCTTCCCGAATAATACCAGACAAATCATAAAACGACGTACAACAAGTTTCTTACAGCAAGCAGACCACAAGTGTAGGTTCTTAAAGCTCATAACAAGTTCATTAAATGAAGCGCATAAAAAAAGTTTATTATAGTAAACCAGAAATCTCATAAACCATGTCAGAAATCTCATAAACCAGACCACACGTTTATTAAAGTATGTACTAATACGAGTTGTTGACAAACCTGAAGCATCACCGTTGATTAAGGAGTTAGGGCCATTCAAGAACTGAGAAAAGGATAAATTCCCGAGAGCATTGGTAATATGCTGAGTGGTAGCAGAATCAGCCAGCCAGCAAGAAGAAGAAGAAGAAGAAATAGTTGTAGTAGTAATACGAGGACAGGTCTTGGCAGCGTGACCTGGCTCGTCACAATACTGACAAACAACGCGAGTAGTCGGGTCGTCCTCTTTTCCCTCGAATTTAACAAGCTCGTAAAACAATTCTTCAAACGAAATCGGGTCACCTCTCTCATAAATCGCCGCCACGATCTCCTCGAACTCCGGACCAACACCGTTTAGGGCGTGGAGGACGAGGTCAGCATCGTCCACATGGTGGCCCGCGAGGGCGAGATCGTTGGCGAACCGCTTCAACGAAGTTAAGAAAACGGAGACCGACTGGTTCTTGACATGGTTGAGACGCTGGGACCGCGACCTGCTGACGAAGAGTCGCTCTAAGCCGAGCCAGGCGTCTCGAGCTGTGGGACAAGACACGATGAATGGGGCGATGGTTTCTTCGTCGACGGACGCCATGATGGCGTGGAAGATCCGTTGATCTTGCTGCGTCCAGTGTCGGCTGGCAAGGGTGGTGCCGCCGCCGACCAAGGTTGAGGTTGGAGGAGGAGTGATGGTTCCGTCGAGGTAACCTTGCAGCCCATAACCGGCCAGAAGGCTGTGGAACTGCCGCCGCCAGGAAGAGTAATTGGCTGCTCCCGTCAGCTTGATGGGCAGTTGTGATGCCACGTCGATGGAGATGAGGGGATCGAGAAACCGGAAGTTGTTGCTCATCTTGAGTTTCCCTAGACAAAAAAAAAAAAAAATACACATGCAAGATAGAAAATGTAGAAATCAGAACACAAATAATTAATTATAGTTTTTATTTATTTAAAGTTATAATGCGTGTTTTATAAAATATTAGAAAGTGGTAGGATGGAGTTATTAGTGTCGCGTCGATGCGTTTTTTTTTATAATGATTATAGGATTCATTATTGGAACTCCTTATGCAACTATTTATTTTAGGAAACGAACTTATTTCTAACGCACATCATATTGAGAACAATTCATCAAGGAATTTGTAGTTTAATGGTACCTGAGGCTATAGAATACTGCCTTAATTAAGATGGTGCGTTGGAGTTCTTGTTTGCTCTCTCTCTCTCTCTCTGTATTAATGTATGGGTTGGAGTATATATAGGATTAGGAATCAAAGGAACTTCACTCAACTACAACTATGCATATCTTAATAGCTAGCTAGTTCTCACAAATTGAATCCCCATCGTTTGGGAAACCTATACGTCTTCCATCCTTGTAGGTGTATTTATAAAAGGGGAGAACAAAAGGCGGAGTTAACAAGATTTCCTTTGGATTCTCTAATTCAAAATTGAGTGATCTCTTGCTTGGTTTTGGAGGATGCTTTAGGTTCTTCGATGAAGAATAAAGTGCTAAAGTACATGTTCTTTTCGTCTTTTTATATATATATATATATATATATATATATATATATATATATATATATATATATATGGGGAGTTCTACAGTACCTAGGGTGAAATCCGGAGTACCGCATACCTTGAGTAAGAAAACGCTATCCAGAACCTGAATTGACTGATCTTTAGGACATGATACTATACTCTTACCCTTAAAGATCAAAATCTAGGTCTTAATTCTCTAAATCTTATACCCCAAGATCATTAAAAACTTGGATTGATTTCCATCCGATCCGCACCTATAAAACAAAATAATCGATCTGGTTAAAAAGGGTTGAACCCGATGTCGATGAGCTTTGGTTGAGACCATTAGAATTAGCATAAAATGCACCCTAGAATCACCGTCCAATTTCATAGTAATGGTTTCGTTTGTCATAGTTGGGGTCATGAATTAATGGAGTGATGTATCCCTAGAGGACCTATCAAGAAAGTTAGTGAAATTTGTTAAGCCTGAATTGGATCCATTCGCACTAAAAGAGAAAAGTGGACTAGGACTAGCCATGTGTCTCTATCTTCATTGTCAAGCTAAAAAATGTTGATTATCATGAACTTCAAATATAATTACACTACAATATAAACACGGGCTAGCAAATGTGGTCTCTAAAGCTTGAGGAATGCCGCTGCAGAGCGCTACACAACACCAAACTAGTACATATAATAATAAGGTATCCATTATTTTATTTAAACACGAAGGAAGGGGTGATATAATTAGAGCTGTGAAAATGTAACCCGACATTCCCATAAAAAAAAGTCAAAATGTAACCCGACCCGAGTAACCCGCCCGATCAACCCGACTCGCAACCCGCCCGCAACCCGATTTGACTAAAAGTCAATGACCCGTAACTCGCCTGACCCGCAATCCGATCGACCCGTAACCCGACCAACCCTCAACCCGATGGACCCACAACCCGACCAACCCGCAACCCGATCGACCACCAACCCGATTAACCCGCAACCCGACCAACCCGCAACCCGACTAACCCGAACCCGTAACCCGACCAACCAGCAGGCAGCAGCCCGACTATAATAGAAGGAATTCAATGAAGATAAACCAAAAGTTGACATTGAAATTCTTGTTCACTAAAGTCTGATCATTACATCATCAATTATTGACTTAGTATAATAATATACATCATCAACCTATTAACGCATATAATATCATCAAATATTTATTTAGATACATCATCAACCTAATAGTGCACATAACATTATAAAATATTAATTTAGTTGTATGTTTCTAATCACGGGGAATTATTTATCAGTTTTTTAGTCTTCATTTCTCGTGATTAATACTTAGTCACGGTAATTCGTGTGAACTTTTAAGAATTTCTTTATAAATTATTTTATTTCAATTTTATGAGGGATAAATTCCTTTTGCTCAAGATGTATTTTGGTTCCAAAATTTTCATTTTTGGTAGAATTGGCTCCAAATTTTCATTTGCTCCAGCGGCAACGTAACCGCCTCTTTTCTAAAATTTGGGCCGCCAAGCGCAAAAGAGACTTTGGTTCCAAATATTCTTTGGTATTTGGCTCCAAAATTTTCATTTTTGGTAGAATTGGCTCCAAGTTTTTATTTGCTCAAGCGGCAAAGTAGCTGTCTCTTTTCAAAAAATTTGGCCACAAAGCACAAAAAAGGAAAAAACCTCAGCTCTCAAAAAATTTGGCCCGCAAGGCTCCAAATTCCAAAACACACTCGCTCTTTCTCTCTCTTTCTCCCTTCCCTGTACCTATCCTCAACTCAGCATGATGATTTGATTGGTCTTGAAGATTTGGATCAGCATGATGATTTGGATAATTCTAGATGATTTCAATTTGGCTGGTGTTCATGCTACAAGAAAGATTATTTTCAATTATGTTGATATTTGTTTTATTGACACTAATCTTATAATTTCATGCGCATATTAATGTTATAATTTCATAACTACATTAATAGACAAAATATTGTGATTAGTGATTTGATAATTAGCTATAGTAGAATATCGTGATCAATTGTTAAACCAACAATTTTTCTAAATTTTATAATTTAGTTTAATACAAAAATCATATAAACAACTAACTAGCTAAACCAACAATTTCTCTATACATTTATATGAACAATTTCACTTGTTTTTAAAAAATTACTTTTAAACTTTTCTCTCCAAATTTCGGTTCTCCCAATACTACTACCCAAAAAATTAATTACCCCCACCCGTTGAGGCCCGCCAATAATTCCCCCCTGTAATGTTTCCCCAAAATTTTGTCCCCCCAACCTTTGAGTATTTGACTTTGAGTAGTGATTCCTTTTTTTTTACAAGTATTGTGCTAGCTTCATATAGTTACGATTTACGAATTACTAGTAATCACTAAAAACTAACGCGATGTTTTGGTCCGTAAAACTCGCAACCCAAACCACCCGACCTGCAATCCGATTGACTCGCACCCGATTGACCCGTAACCCGATTGACCCGTAACCCGATTGACCGCAACCCGAGTGACCCGTAACTCGAGTAACCCGCAACCCGATCAACCCGAACCCGATGAACCCGCAACCCGATCGACCCGCAACCCGACCAACCCGCAACCCGAATGAACCCAACCCGAACCTGCCCGATTGACACCTCTAGATATAATCTAGGGTCCAGGATAGGATGTATACCAAAGGGTTATCAGTTATGCACACTTAAAGAATCAAATATGGGCCCTTAGTTTTAAGTAAGGTCAGATCTAAGGAATGAGAATGAATGATTTCTTTTTTTCTATTTTACTATATCAGCTTTTATCTTGGTATCACCTTTGTTTTTAACTTGAATTTTGAAAAAATTTGTTCAGAAGGAACAAGTTTGTCGTGATCTATTAAATCTACTAATTTATGGAAAAAAAAACTTCAGGACAAAAAATACCATCCAAGTACAATGAAGGAGCTAGGTTGAAGCCATGAGGGGTTATAAGGCTCAAGATAGAGTGCATAACCATGGGTTATGCACCCATCAATAACCAAATCTGGACCTTCATTTAGAAAATTGATGGAGAATTAAAGACCATTTTTATTTTCCCTAACTTTCTTAATCGGCTCATATCTTTTTCGTTTTAACTCGAATTTTAATTTTTTTTTTTTTGCACAGATGGAACGAGTTCATCGTGCTCTACAAAATGAGATCAATTTTCAATATCTTTGGAGGGAAAAAAAATTCTGGCCTCTCGGTACCAACTGCATACCATATGGTATTTTCTTCGTTTTTGAAAACGTTTGCACAAAAGGGACGAGTTCATCATGATCTATTGGATCTACAAATTTCTGGTTGAATAAATTACAGGACCAAAAAAATACCACAAAATACTATACATTGCCACCCTGGTACGGTGTGGTATCTTGTGGTACACAATGTTAAAAGTCGTAAATGACAGTTAATATATTTCTACTATCATGTATTCAACCATCCTACAGTCTTGGTTTGTTCATACGACCATGGTACGCTTTTCAAACCATATGTATGCTCTTATTTCAATACCAGTCAATACCATATGGTATAGACTGGTAAAAAATGACTCAATTTTTATTGTTCGAAAAACATATCAAAGTGGATATCATTTTGAAGAGCACAATTAATCTGATCTAACTGTGCAAAAAAATTAATTTACAACTTAAAATGAGTGAGAAATCGTCCGTCAAAGATTAAGGAGGGAAAATTAAAGGCTTTATAGGAGAGAGAGAGAGAGAGAGAGAGAGATGCTGATGTCATGCTGATGTGGACGTGTTACTCATGGTTACTCACCATAAGGTTAATGACCTGATCCGTTCCCGGGCTATAGCCCCCTCCTATTTTGAATATAGGTAAACTTTCATGTAAAACTGGTAACAAGTTTAGGAAACAAACTAGTTAGTAAGGCCTTAGCCCCCTCACACAACAGTTCAAGTCCTCCGTCCTCATTCAGATTCCTGGCTTCGCCACTGTCTAGTGGTATACGTTGATGAAAGATGGTAAATGACGATTAATATATTTATACTATCAAGAATGCAACCATTCTACATTCTGATGTGTTCGTACCATTATGATACACTTTCATACCACGTGGTACACATGGTAGAGATTGGTAATAAAAGTCTTAGTTTTTCTTCCAAAATATTTTAAAGTAAATGTCATTTTGAAGAATTATATTCTGTTAAGTCAGTCAATTGGACAATTAGTTCTTCTCCTCGTAGTGTGCCAAGTATCCAAAGGATAACTGCCTCGCTCAACAAACACATTCATCGTACTAGTAAAAGAGTACATCACATGACAGTTTATGCTATAAAAGACCGTTAGTTGCAGGATCTTGCACCCACTTCTAGAAGATACGATTATTGTTTTTATTCCATGTCATGATCTTATTCTGATATGCATGCAAGTCAAGTGCTTTGCACTTTTGATCGACGATCGGTTCGTCCATCACGTAATCTTATAAACTAAAGTTGAAATAAACTGAAATACTGATTTATTCTTCTTTTGACTGATTAAAACATAGAAACAGAGTACATATTTATAGGAATAATCCTACAAACCATTTCCCTCCCGAATAAGGTAAACAAATCCTAGACCAACTCCTAAACAATAACTTCCTTAACAAGAAATAATAACCATAAAATATCCGAATAAAAAAATAACAATAATAATAGAAAAATAGCTAATGGCTTAGACGTCCACAAAAACGTGTACTCATCAACTTTGTTTTTTCAGCTAGTCTAGTCCCTTTGAAAAATAATCATCTCATAGCCCTATTTGGATAGAATAATTGAAAATTTTAGTGTTAGTGATCTCATTCAAATTGAAAG